TAAACACATTTTATTTCCCAGGTAATAAATTGTCCAACCAATAAAACATTGTAACTATTCTATGGCATGGTTTTTGTCTTTACAATCTCTTTAACATCACCTGGAGCTGGTCGCAATCAATGTATTTAAACATTGCATACATCGCTCATGTAAATAAATACATTAATCACATTTGAAAAGTTACGTTGCCTAATTTAGCATTACCACGCGGCTTTGGAATACGTGATCGAGCAGCGGATTGATCGTGGCTGATTGTGAGCATGGTGCTTTGTCGAGTGACAATGATGTTCAATACTTCATCGAGCATCAATGCAGAGGCCTTTTTTCATTATTCGACAACTTTGAATGTAAATAACTAGAGCCTGTCTGGTGGTGACTCATTTGGCTACCTATTATTATAATGTATAATTACTGAACTGTCTATTACTGCTCTAAGATGAATGTTGATCGTCGTGACCCACCCCACCACTACCCACTGTCCCCGCCCTCAAATCGTATTATGCATATTTCTTGCGCTCAGTAATAATACCATATAATACTAAGGCTGTGTTATTAAAATACAGTAGTATTCATAGTATGCAAAGTATTGATAACATGTCATTCTGCTTTCACATGTGATCATTGCTTGGAGCAGCTATTATGGATTATCCGAGTAAGTGACTTCTCCCTGACGTCTTGTGGTAGGTAATGGTGGTGGCATGTTGCTGTAAGTCGTGGTGAGTGGTAGTCCCGGGCGGTGGTGGCTATGCACGTAGCCTGTAATCCAGCACTGTGATGACAATGAGGGCTGGTGGATCACACACATGTTGCAAAACTCCCTTCCTGTGTGAGGTCGAGCCATGGTGGCTTGCCAGAATGCAGTACAGCAAAATGTGGACTCCACCTTTTCCATCTTTATGGGATAGACTATTTCCTCCTCACATTCATGAGTTTTCTCGGGGTGCTTCAGTTTCCTCTGAGCTCTCCTTTGTCTAATGGGGTATCGCGAGCATAATTGAGTGCCTTGCCCACTGCGCCATAGAATATCCATGGCAAACGATCATGGGTCTTTTGCCCATGCTTAACTTTTCTTGATTTTACAGAGCCTTGAACAGGACCATAGGTTAACTATAATGGGTTGTTTTGCTATTCCAAATCTATCCTTTACCCACTATAGATCTACATTGATTTGATTATTTGAGCCATACTTTGCATTTATTTTCAATTGTGATGTTTAAAGTTTAGCTGTTGTGTTAACGTTTTCCTTGTTCAAATACGAGTATCCGAGATTTATCCTCGCCTTGGTGGTTTAATAATACCTGCATTTCCCCATTACCTAGGAACACTCCGTAATCCTTGATGACTATCAGTGTGTTTGTATTGTGAAAACCCAAAGTGATTTGTTCACCTTTGCCTTTAATATTTTCCCTTTAAACTGCCGTTGTCTTGACGGGTCTACTACAGTATACCGATTCAGGCAAGACGAGCGTGCATTATAGCTTCTGATTTTATTTATGCAGTATATGTGTATATCCTGTTTGATTTTGGATTGTGTGTAAGAGAGAGAGCGTCCTGAGGACGAAATTAACACTCGGCGAGACCAGGGGTGTGAATGGCCTTCATTCACAGCGATACTGCGGTTGTCTGCTGTTCATGGACACTTTGGAGGAATGCGTTTAGGGCATATGGGGGTGGCACACACATTTGTCTGCATAGGAGGCGATAGCCGAGACTGAACCTCACAATGATGTAATTCAGTATATTTGTTGTTTAAATGCATACCATTTACGTCTGCATGTATCCGTTTTCCTTGCATCCGTGATGAACGACGCATTGACATTTTGAGCGAGGCATTTGCAGAAAGTCTCTCGAATGAACACGGGGGAAGCAAACACCAACCAGCGCATGTGCATGCCATCACAATGAAGTTGTCTCATCCTGCAGATTGGTGCTGGGCGCAACCATGTCTCCATGGGACGTGTGAGCCGTTATTTGACTACTACTACCGCTCCGACTACAACTACCGGTGCATCTGTAGTCCAGGATGGTCCGGACATAATTGTGATAATGGTAAACATGTTTATGTTGTGTTCTTGTGTAAATAGGAGAGAAATAACAACGCTCAAGTAAACGTTGAAGTGCTTCCCTGTTCGAAGGAGCGAATCAAGCTCCCAAACAGGTTTTCAAATGGCTGTTGTACAACCCTCTCATTGGCAGGGGTCGATGTGAACTGAGATCTGTTGCAGGCGGCGCTTCCTAACTCCACGTGGCATCTCAGGAAACTACCGAGTAGATTGCCAAACTAGACATCTCATTGTCAGGCTCTGTCATACGGATAAAGAAGATTGTTAAATTATACAAAATAAACAATTTCAGGCGTTTGCGTGAACATGGACGTCTGCGTTAATGTATAGGTCAGAGGTCTGGCCATTGACAATCACAATTCATCTGGCAATGCTTTTGAATTTTAAACATTTGAACAAAAATGTATGGCCACTAGCTGTACTACCCGGCTTCGCCCGGGACTTGTATCCACCACGGCCGGCCGCCTTTGTCTCCCCAGTGGCGATGTTAATACGCCACACCAGTTACTCGTTTGAGGCTGAGTCGACCTATGTGAGGTTCAAATAATCTTGATCGGTGGTGGCCATGAGCGGGAATCTAACTCGGTTCGCCGGGTTGGTAGCGCAGCGTAGCGTTAACCACTACACCCACCGCTCCTCACACACACAGACGCACACACACACAGACACACGCAGAAACACACAGACAGACACAGACAGACACAAAGACAGCACGCTAACCACTACACTACCGCTCCCCACACACCACACACGCAGACACACACACAGAACACACACACAGACACACAGACAGCACGCTAACCACTACACTACCGCTCCCCACACACCACACACGCACACACACAGACACACACACAGACACACACACACAGACACACACACACAGACACACACACACAGACACACACACAGACACACACACACAGACACACACACACACACATAGACACAGGCAGTACGCTAAGCACTACACTACCGTTCCCCCTACACAACACACGCGCGCGCGTCCATAGGTACACATACACGCGCTTGCTGCAGACACACACATACACACACATACATAACCGCACATACACACAAACACATACACACACATGCATACACACAAACATACACATACATACAAACACACACATACATACACACAAACACATACACAAAACACACACACATACATACAGACACACACATACATACACACAAACACATACAGACACATACATACACACATACATACAGACACACAGACATACACATAAACACATACACACATAGTCATGACCCGGCTTTGCCCGGGACTTGTATCCACCACGCCCGGCCGCCTTTGTCTCCCCAGTGGCGATGTTAATACGCCACACCAGTTACTCGTTTTGAGGCTGAGTCCCTCCCTCGCCACTCTGCCTCCCTCGCCACTCTGCCTCCCTCGCCACTCTGTAGAGGACGTGAAATTTGTATGAATTTACCTCAGAGTGGCGTGTTGGGTGTCGAGGCCTAGCACCGTGCAGAGCCTCCCGCCTTGCCTGATTTTCGCACCCGGCGAACGCTGGGTACGGGTGCCGGTCCCCCCCCCCCCCCGCCGCGCTATTAAAAATGGCGTCCACCCCGCGGAGAAAAGTTGCTACTCGTTGCCAGGGGCAACCGCCGTCCAATGAAAGTGCAGTCCACACACACAGACACACAGACATGAACGATTTTATATATATAGATGTAGTGCAAGAAAATGGAAACATTAGGGCAAAAGTTGGGAGTTATTACGACTTAACAATATTACACGTATTTAGTACCGTTGACGGTGAAGTTCTTCTTTGAAATGTAAACAGAGAAAATCCAACATTTTGAAGACTTGCAGCTTTTATTTAAACACATACGTTACAAAGGGGGGTGGTTACACATGAAACTAAAGTATTTCTATTACAGCTATAATTAATAAATTGTCACAAAATAACTAACTCCTAAAGGCAATGATGGACTCATACTTTTAATGTTATTAGTCAAACCGTAACACGTCGTTTATTTATTTCTTTATTGGAGTGAAATTGTTGCATTTGTCATCCTGGTACCCAAGGGAAGAGCTCACGGGCAAACGATTAGATTGTATTGCAAGGGCAGACCTTGGCGATCGGATGTTGATTACGCTGGGGGAATCTATCGCGAGGTGGGAAGTAATGAGAATGTGTAGTGGCATCCATACGATTGTAATTATCATTGTACTGATCATCATAACGGTCATGAAATTGGTTCATTTCTCGCATATCATCATCTCTTAACAAAAGCTTACCATGGTAACCTGACAGTGAACATGAATGTATGTCATCGAGCGTATCGGTTATTTGACTCAACACTTAACATTGTAGTTAAGACATTGCTGCACTAAATATTCTGAATGTGTTTTTTTTTGTCTCTTTTAAATGTGTTATTCTACTTCATCTGCAAAAGAAATTCCTGGTAAGAAAGTTGAATGACTTAATTGATGCTTTAGCTCTTGTAAACTACGCGTCATTTCTTGGGCGACACAATTAGCCATTGATAAAAAAAAATAGAAATTAATTTAAACGACGAATAAAGTTATAACGAGGCTGTTTTTGTCTTTCAAATCTATTCAACGTTAATCTGGGGCAACTTGTAATCTCATTACGGGGGACGCATTGTGTACACATATATATAGTATACACACATTTCGCATGTAAACTAAGTAACATTTAAAATGTGATCTTGCATAACTTCTCAACAGAAGCCAAAAGGAATAATATATAATTTAGTAATCATGATGATTTAAGCAATCATTGTGCTTGTGTTTGGTCGTCATGCTTGGTTATACGGGCCATGGCGAGGTCGCCACTTTCTTATAAATATTCAGATTTTGATTATTGGTGAATGGCTACAGCTGTTGTTGTAATGTTTAAAATGTGCACTGCGTGGCAGATGTCTATTGGACACGGTGGTATGACCGCGATGACCCATCTGGAAATGGAGACTATGAAACCCTGCAGCAACTGAGACAAGAATATCCTGGTGAAATCTGCCTCTCTCCTTTAGCGTTAGAGGTGAGAGGAACGTTGCTTGCAAGCGTCATTAATTTTTTTACTTAAAGGCCAATGAAAATGTGCAACACACACAGTGGATAGTTAAATGTGCAACATACACAGTGGATTATTAAATGTGCAACACACACAGTGGATTATTAAAATCAATCATATGTTTTTTTTATTCAAGTCTCACAAAGGATATAAACGATTTTCGACGTTTCGGCAGCCTGACCTTCAGAACATATTTACCTTTACAGAGATAAAATGTTGAAATAGTTTATGTTTGAGGTGTTGGTATATCAAAGCCTGTCATTATTATTTTTAAAGTAATTCATTATACATGTTTAGGGAGGCTGAAGAGCACGGTCACCAAAATTCAGGCCTCACTGCCCACCCCAACTCTCCTGCATATTGAACTACAAATTAACTCGTTCCACGCTGCACGCACCCGATTATTGTTAAACACGTGCCACGTGATGCACTAACCAATCAAGACTGTCTGCAGGACGTGTTCCACTTGTACGCACACACAGAGTACGTGTATATACACACATGTAGAACACGTGTGCTGTACATGCTCAGACACTGAGATATCGATCTTAGTATGAATCGGCTATGAATGCTGGCAGCGTTCATTTCTTTGCGCGTCACGTGGGACGTGTTTAACAATTATCTGACGCGTGCAGCGTGGAAGGACTTGACTTGAATTTTTACGGGTTGCTCGGACTGGAGTTTAGAAAATCCTGCTGTAGAGGGTAACCGAATTAATCATTTAAATGGCGTACTTGCACCCCGTCTGTTTCAATACCTGTCGCTTGAATGCAGGCTGCTCAAATTCCGATTGGCCAAATAGGGGAGGGGTGAAGATAAAAAGGGCGTTCTAGGCACCTTTGAGTGGAAGAGGAAGTTTCTCAGACTGCGTTCCTGGCTCAATAAAGAAGCCCTTACGTTACACCTTTGGCATGGACTTCTTCACTTTATAGTTAATACGTTCAACTGTGGTAACGAGCTCGTAACTTAAATGCGCAATGTGTACACACTCTGGCGACAAACAGGCGATGACGCTGGACTGGACTCCTGCCGATCAGACTGGGACAGGTCACCGTGAATAGCACAACAGTCGGGTTTTATTGCGTGAACATTAGGCAAGTGGACAACGAATGCCTGGACTACCAAGTCCGTTTCCTCTGCCAGGCAACCGGTGAGTCTAGAATGCTTGTGCATTACGCAGTGGTACCCATGTCACACACGTGGAACACTTTCTTTTTTGTTTCTATGTTTGTAAAAGAAACGTAGAATGGATTCATACCACTAGTATAGTGAAAGTAATTGCATATTGTAAAATATGCCATTTTTATGTTGCATGAATGGATTCATTGTATTAGTTTATGCGAGTAAGAAACTTTCAGCCTTCAGTTGTTTTACAAGAAGGACCCACGGGATGGCATTGCTGAAAGGTCCAATTCACTACAGGGATTTCTTTTTTGGGTTATTTAGTTTGGAAGTTTTTAACATCAACACCAAGAAGACGTAGTAATTTAAATGCACTCACGCCACCATGATGCACAACAGGAACCTCTCATCAAGACGCCCGTACATCGGGCAAACAAAGCGTCAGATGGTGAATGCCTGAGGAGTGAGCTTAAACCGAGTGAAACAAGCACTGCAATTAAATAGATACCACAATCTAAGAATTAACAGGACACCTAGTGTTAGAAACAAAGTGGGTAATACAAACGGTGAAAGTGAAAATGTAATCAAAACAATCAAACACCCGTATATTGCAGGAATTGGCTAGATATTTATAAACTTTGATAAAAATGGGAGTGAGACCTGGCATGGTACAGCACAGAATACAACACCTTTTGAATCGTACCAAAGAATACTTTAAATACCCAAATTAGGACCCGGTCAGTCTACCTGATTATGTGCACATGTGGCAAATGCTATATTAGCCAGACGGGATGAAATAGCAACACGAGAGTAAAGAACCCCAAAGGGTCATCGAATACAGTTAAAGGACATCCAATCAATTGTGATAACGTTGATGTTCTATATGAAACTTGTTATTGGCAGACTACTTAGAGAGTAGATTTGAAATAATTGAGCAAATAACAAATTACATTACCCACATCTGAGGGAAGCTCATGTTGTGGCCGAAACGTCGTGAGAATTGTATTTTATTATGTTATATTTTTATTATTTTATTTTTTCCCTTCTACGTGACTTTACCGAAAGAACTAAGAAGATGAAGCTTATGTTGCTTTTGTCACTGCAGGAGCGTTTGATTTCTATCATTTGGCATGTTCCTCAGCACTATCTTAGAGGTAGATTCATGTAGCCTGTGGCACATCACAAATATAGAGTTTCAGGCCACAACTAGGTCTGAAAAATAAACTGGGGTGATTGCACAACAGATGCAAAGAAGTGCCAATGTTACGAATCTAGTGGAAAGTTATCAATATTTAGTTAAAACTAGATAGTTTAAAAAACGAGAGTGCTTCTGATGTCCTGATACTCTTGCGACAGAAGCCTTCAAATGCGAAATATTTTGAAGTGATGTAGGGCTCATAAACTACACGCACACTTTGCGATGATCAGGGTCCACAACAACTCTGCCCATCCGAGGGCCAAATTACTGAAAAAGCAGAGTCTAAATTACTCGACGGATGATTCGGACCTACTCTAATTCAATATTTATCTTGACTCTTTATTTTCTGTAAACGTGTCGCAAGCAATAAACGCCCAGAATTCCTTACGGTTATAGTAATTAATAGATGTGGAAAATGTGCCAACATTTTGTTGGTTTCCGGATTGAAAAAATATCAACCTGACTTTCATCACGTAACTTTGCAGAGTCGCCACAACTAAACTGCACGTCTCAATATCCTCGAGCTGAAGATCCCACTGGAAAAACTGAGCTCACTCAACCTCTCACCGTTGGACGTCCACCTGGAGGACGCCTCGTGTCGTGGCTTCTTCACGCAGCAGTACCTGATCCTGCACAGTGACCTGCAGTCCTGTGGCACCACGGCCGAGGTATGCCGACCGGGACCCCGCGATCTGAGAACTCCACACACACACACCTGAGTGTGAGGGATGGAGGGGGCACGTGTGCTCTATGTTGTTCTCCCTCTCCCCAAGGCCCACGGCGACACCATCGTGTACTCGAACACGGCGTATGGCTTCGTGTCGGGAACCACAGCCAAGAAACTGCGCATCCCCATTCACTGCTCCATCGATTCACAAGGGAATGTCGTAGCGAGCTACTTGCCCAGGTAATCCAAGCCACATTCCGATATAAATGTAGTTGAAACGAATTTCTTAACTAGGTCGAAAAATCATGCATATGCATGGGTTCTGTAACACTTTCCAACTTTACAAATCAATTTAGGGAACATACGTGGGTTAAATACATGAAAATTATTCGAAAAATAAGCGGGCTTGGGTGGGACACCTTGAAAGGAGGCGTGGTCACTAATGGTTAAGAATAGTGATGGAGCAGGAGCTGAGGAATGGACGCCCACCACAGAGATAGAGCGATGAAATTGGCTCCTTGTTCAGGCGCCAGGGGGGTTGTTACATCGGATGAGGATTGTCAGAGATTGCGACTTGGGCTGGGCCTTCAACGACTTGGGCTGGGCCTTCATTGATGATGATGTATAACGTTAGCGTTCGAGAACGATAAGGTGACATAATGTGACAAGCGATGTTGTGAAAAGACGTCTCGTAATGACGTCATCCAATCTGTGAGCATGGTGTGTGATGTCATCTCTAAGGGAATAATGGTAAGCTAAGCCTTTATGTTTGTTTAATTCACAGCTGCCCGCAATCGTAAAAAACTTTTCATTTAATTACTTTATATTGCATCATCTTTATCCATAAGTTATAGGGACACCTCCATTACCAGAAAACAGATGAACAAAGGTACTGAAAAGTCGAGATAGATTTCTTCCTCACTGTCAGTCCTAGAATACAAGTTGATGATAATTGGCTTGAGTCTGCAAAAGAGGAAGCTGCATTAATCTTATCACAGCTACCAGTCATGTGTATATATATATATAAATTATTGTGATGAAAGTCATCATCCACCATCTATCCACTATTAGATGAAGGCCTTTACAAGACTGCCCAGTATCTCACGGCCTTGCAATTTATCTGACTCCTGCACACGAGTTTAATTCTTTGCTTCCACATCCACGATAGACATACTCCTTCATTTGGCCTCCACTCAAGTCGTTAGTCTCTATCACCAGACATTCATTCTTCCAAAGCCGACTTCTCTTGATAGTATATTCTCTAATCCATGCATCCCTCTGCATGTGTCTCAGTCTAAATTACAGGAATCTCCCGTTCTCTCTATACACTTTTTAGCTTTTGTCCTCAAGAGGAAATCCTTGTGCACGAGTGTCTTTTGTAAGATTCTCCTTCTTAAATGTTGGGACCCTCTCTTTCTCGCACTGCAGAGTGCATGACAAGTACAGCTCGGGCACCTTTGACCTGAGCATGGTGCTCTACATGGACCAGAGCTTCAGTCAGCCTATCTACTCGTACCCATTCGAGGTGGACCTCGGAGCCCCGATCTACGCGGAGGTGGGTGAGATGAGCTCATGATAAGACAGTGATTCGGTATCATGTCATGTCACAGTTAAAACATGTGCTACAGACCTATGTATCAGCTCAACCTTGAACAATACAACCTCGTCACTGATGAAGAAGCTTGGACAGCTGACTGGAGTTCACAAGAAGTCACAAACAACAAACACGTCCTCGTGAGAGACACGACAATGCAGAAAGATCCCTTGCTTTGATCTTCCATGAAGCTTCTGGGCCATGACCACTTACATCAACATCCACCAATAAGACAAGTAAATCAAGAAAAAGTATTTTTATCGTAAAAGCGCAGATGTAATGATGTCTGTATTGATCACTCCACACATATCAAGGATACGTGGTACTTTTAGAGACGCTCCAGAGGCCGTGGTATTCACAACACTTAGAATCTATTCCATAGTCAATTCAAATACACATTGACCTGCTTGTAACTGTTGCTACCTCTCATCTACTTCCTCTTCCATGGAGCCCCCCCTCCTCCAGGAAGAGTTCATCTGTGCGTTTTCTCACCAGGTGCTTCTCAACTCCCCCACCAACGACCTGCTGCTGTTTTTGGAGACGTGCAGAGCCTCCCCCTTTACCGGTGCCGACGACAGCGACTCCTACTTCATCATTAGAAATGGGTACACGGCTGACTTGGCTCTCCGTTTGTAAGGTTGAAGGCCTAGGGCTGGGATAACCCAAGCGCCAGCCATCGCACCTCATCACAAATCTACCGATCCCCAATCAACAGCCATCTTAATTGCTTAACGTGGTGACCTGGACACGGGTGGGTCACAAGGACGGGAGTTTAGGCAAGCTCCTTCTTCGGTGGCCCAGAACTGGTGAGAGGCCTACTCCAGGCTGTTAGATTAAGGCTGAATATGGTGGGAACGCTACCACGTGTATTGACGATTATGCACACACTAAATATAATTGAGATATGTAAAGCGTGTTGACGTTATTCTCATAATAAATTAATCTTCACTCAATTTTAAATTGAATCGCATGTGATACAATGTGTGTGCAATAAATACATCTCGTTCAATAAACAGGACTACTTGGCCTGAGACATGTCACCTTTAACACCTCCTCTATGTCGCCTGTCGCACGGAAATGGTGGACCTTCCCTGGCTGCCCAACACATGGCGGCAGGAATTGATGCAATAGTCCGTGAGCACGAGCGCACAGAGAATGAACACAGATAACTTGAATTTGTTTGTGACGGCACGTGTTCGCGGGGCTGTAGATGTCAAGAGGAACCATCCTACGTCAACTACTTCAGTGGCGACAACAAGAGGCAGCATTTCAGCTTCCAGAGTGTGGAGTTCTCCAATGGCTTCCAGGTAATATTTGTTATCCATGATCCGAGATTTATTTCATTTAACCTCGGTGGCCTATTCAAGATCGTGCAGGGACAGGTTATGTTTTGTTCAGAAATTGTATCACTTCAGACAATTTGCCCGAAGGCGGCGACCCTCTAGGTAGACCAATAATCTAAACTACAGGTTTTACGGTATGGATATGTTATCATAACCTTAAGCACTAGCCTTGGTAATTATCACTGTAAATTCGTGAACAACTAGCAATCGAGAGCAGAATTAACAGCGGCAATAATAGGATCAGAGGGCAGCTGTACTTTAATCACTTTAATTTTGACGTTGAAAATGTTCAAAAAATATCTCGCATCAATCGGTTCCATCCTCATTTACCTTCTGTAGTTGTTTTAAATGTGACAGTTTAACAAAACATAATTATCAATGCAGCTGGTCGATCCTTAGTGGTGGAAACAATGTGAGAAAAAAAATCTATTTTAGCAGTGGTCATGGCCAATTTATATTGTTTTATATGGGACGTAAAGATGTCAAAGTTAACAGGGCCCAGATGCCCCTCAACTTTAACCCCATACTTGGAATACCAGGGAAAAGCAACATTCAATATGGATGCATTATAGGAATGTCACAAACTGATAAGAACAACCCATTTTATTTATCACAGAAATGGTAATCAGTCTGGTTAACAAAATATGAAGTTGATATTGGTCTAAATGCAACAGTTAGACAAACGGCAGTGGAAACTAAAAACCAATTCAGTAATTTCACAAGTAATCGCCAGGTAAATAGAACACTTGAGTGTAATCTGGCCAGGTGGCTCGGCAAGTGGCACGCAATTGAAAAGTAATGAGTTCAAATCCTGGTTAGGGGTTGACAGCCCATGCATAAAATTGTTATTGTTGTCATTCCATTCAACCTTTTTGATGGTGGTTACTTTTGTGAAGAAATGACAATGGCGATATGTTTACCGATGTTCTTCGCAGGTCTACCTGGAGTGCTCTGTACACATTTGTCACATTTCCAACCGGAACTCGACATGCCAGCGAGGGTGCGTGCGCGCCAAGCGGTCCGTGCGTGACCTCGTCAGCCGGGAGAAGCGTGCCGAGCACAACGTGGACCTGTCTCAGGGCCCCCTGCGGCTCCGCAAGTCAAGGCAGGGTGAGCATCCTCCTTACCAGTCGGCCAAGCTCCATTGTGCCGTCTGACATGGCACCATGGCACAAATCTGGTTCGTAAAAGTTAGGATTGGGTAGCAGACACCAGATTTTTTGGAAAACGAGAGTTGCTCTCAGGTCAGACCTTGATAACTCAAGAGACCAGGATCGTCTCATTTGCAAGAGTGGCTTCGGGCATTAGTCTGCCAGAAGAGGGTGATGATTGCAACATACATAATGCTAATTGAGTAATTTGTGGATATTATACAAATTTGGACCTCAATGCTGGCACACGATGGCCCACTCTTGCGAATGTCATCAGGGGCTCTTTAACGTTCAACTGTGAAGCAAACTTTCCGTAATATTGCGGCTATTACACAGTCATAATCCAGATGGCCGCTAGATGTGAACCTGTACAATGTCACATCACCGTCAAAGGTCAGAAGATTAGCGCTTACACAGGAAATGCTAAATCAATGAAACAATAAGGATCATGCGAACATCGTGAGATATTCATCCAGCAGTGGATAAACAATGGATAGTGATAAAATTATAAAATTTTCATTATTAATAAAAAAAAAATTACGTGGAAATGGTCTTTTTGATTAAGAGACGTGAAGATACATTTCCTGCTACAGGGCAGTCTTTAATGACAGTAAGTGCAGTTTTAAGTTATAAAATGTCTAGATACAATGCCTTCATGTCAACCATGGTACCATTTCAGGTTTAATGTGAACAAATATGCAATCGCAGTCCACAGGTAAAATATCTGAATCTTTATTTAGACTGGAGGAATCCGATGAGCTATGAAGCTATTTTTCACAGATGTCCAGTAGAAGAGGGTCGGCAAGTTAAAACAACAACAAACACAAATAAGATGCTCTTTGGTTCTCTCGGTAGAGTCACGTAGGTATAAAATAAAATAAATTAAATCACGACGTTCAGGGCACAACACAAGCGTCCGTCATCAGGTGGGACAACCACAGCAAGAAACAATAGCCCCTTTTGCCCACTTCAGTAATTATTTCTTTCTGTGGTTGTCCCACCTGATGACGGACGCTTGTGTTGTGCCCAAAACGTCGTGATTACATTTTATTTTATACCTACGTGACTTTACCGAAAGAACCCAAGAGTATGGAACACTACAGCCACGAAAACTTCTAATAAAAAAAAGATGGAGAAGAGTCTCACTTACACCTCTCTGTTGGCCGGCTTGTGTGCTTCCGCTGGCGTTTCCGCGCCCTCCCATCTAACCGCAGCTTCTGGGGTGCTGAGCTCGCTGGCGGGCATGGTGTACGCCTTGGCCGCCGCCCTGGCCATCGCTGCCGTGTGCGTGGCCGCGGTGAACGTTTACCGCCACCGTGTCGCAGGGCCCGAGTATCACCACGTCGTCACCAACGATGAATTCGCTACGTGATGGACACGCTTTTTACACTTTACTACTTGCCATCGCTACATAGCCTCTTGCATGAATCGCTTATGGATTGTGTAAGTGATTGAGTTTGTTTTAAAAGGGCTTTTACAAGGCTAAGGTGAATTTTTCTTTATCGGAACCGTGAGATTAATCAGCAATGTGGATACTGCATGTGCTTTATATATTTTTTATGAACTGCAGTAATGTTGAAATTCGTTAATTGAATTATTTACTTGTCGAATATCTTCATACAGAATAGATACTGCATTTTTAAATGAAGACTATTACAATAGTTTACATATTTGGCACACGCAATGAAGACGATCTGTATGCTCTTTGGTTCTTTCGGTAAAGTCACGTAGGGTAGAAACAAAAATCACGACGTTTCGATCGCAACACAAGCAACCGTCATCAGTCAGAAAGGCACAGCAGCAGTTCTGTCTTTTTGCCTGATGACATCCACCCTATGTCCTTCCTTGTTGAAGAGATACGTAGATGACACTTTCCTCATTTGGCCACATGGCCTGCAAGCATTGAACCAATTTCTCAACCACATTAATTCCATGCACCCATCCATCAAATTCACCATGGAAGTGGAGAAGGATGGTAAGCTACCATTCCTGGATGTTTTGTTTGAGAACAGACTTGACGGCTCGTTGGGACACTCTGTCTACAGGAAATCCACCCACATAAATTCCTATCTGAAATCTGATTCCCACCACCACCCGGCACAGAACAATTCCCTCATCAAAACACTACACCATAGGGCCCACTACATTTCTGAGCAACACCACCGAGCCAGTGAACTGGAACACGTACACCAGGCACTCAAGATGAATTGGTACTCGGATCGCATTATTCGCAAAGCTGTTACTCCAACCATGGAGAAACAGCCCTCTGAGATGCCAATCAATACCATCACGTTACCCTATATAGCAGGTGTTACCAAAAATATTTCCAAAATCTTAAACGTACACAAGATCCAGGTCCGATTCAATACAGTACACAAAATCCGTGATCTAACCCCATCTGTGAAGGATGTCATTCCTGACATGCAATATCCTGGAGTCTACAAAATAAATTGCACCTGTGGTGTGGCTGTTACATTGGAGAAACGAAACGCCATATCTCGGACCGTGTTCGCGAACACAAAGCAGATCTGAAACACGGCAGAACCAATACCTCTGCCGTAGCTGACCATTGTTATAACGTTGTGGGCTCACATCATATTGTTTTTTCCGAGACCGAGGTACTCTGCAAACATTCGGGCTACTATCAAAGGTTTGTTCATGAAGCCATCCAGATATATAAACATAGACATAACTTCAACTGAGAAGATGGATACAATTTGAGCAATCATTGTAAATATGTTTTAAACCAGGTAAAACCCTAACTGGTTTGTATTGGTTGTCGTCTATCATATCTGCCGGATACTACTACACCACGCAGCGCTCGCCCTCCCCCTACCCCACGCCCCCACCCCTCCCTCTCCCCCCTTGCTCCTCCCCCTTTCTTACCTATATAACCTCTTACCACGGCAACTCTCTCTCCCACTTCGGCAAAAAAAAATATTGCTCTGGTTTTCCCACCTGATGATGATTACTTGTGTTGCAATCGAAACGTCGTGATTTAATTAATTTTATTTTATATCTACGTGACTTTACCGAAAGAACCAAAGAGTATGGTTTCCTGCAGTCACGAAAACTTCAATTCAAGACGATCTATATGCTTTGAGAATGAGATCATTAGTATAATTTATGTGACTTTTGACTTCCAGGGCCTGATTAATACATTTCTCACGTTTGTTAAAAACCTTAACTCATTCCCGCAAACATTTACTGTTTTCCTTCGTAGGAGCACAATTGTGTATTTGCAAAAATCTATCAATGATAAGATGTTTTGCGTAAAAATTGTCGAAGTCACATTGCTGCTTCTGGTCAACGAATTATATGATGTAATACTTTATAACATGAACCGGTATAGCCAAATGCAAATGGAATCGCAAATGCATTTTTGTATGCTGACTTCAAAATTTAAGGGCACCATGGTCTTATTTTTAATGGTTGTTATAATGACTCATTGAAAGACAATTACATATTGAGGACTTTACAATGATGAACATGATTGCTTCCTACTCTTGTAACAAATAAAACAATGGTATTAAACAAGTGCCCGTTATTCATAGTCTATCGTCCCATCATCAGCCATGATAATTCACTGCTGAATGAAGGTCTCCCCAAGCCATCGCTATCCCTCACGGTCCTGCGTGTATTTTATGCTTGTCATTCTGTTACCAGTTTTGTCCACCAATGTGCCTTGCCCAAGCCAACTTTATTATCTCAAGGGATTAGAGAAATTACATGAAGTTTATTCTTTTCTCGTGTTTGCAGCCAACATAGACATGCGCCTACAGTAACTAACATTTTCTTGGTTCTTTCGGTAAAGTCACGTAGAAGGGAAACAATAAAATAATAAAAATAAAACATAATTTTTTTTATTGCTTCCCTTCTATGTGACTTTACCGAAAGAACCAAGAAGATGAATCCCTGCAGTCACGAAAGCTTTAAATCGAAATTTAACTAACATTTGTTTAACCGAACGGATCTAGGAAATTGACGTCGTGAGTTTAGGAATGCGATTTACTTGATCAAAATGGAAAACGACTTTGCTGGAGACGTTTATTTAACAAATTCAACACTGGAAGCAAACACGACCTGGTGCAGTGCAAGTTGCACTTCAACATAGCCAAAGATATGGGCAAAATTGTCCTAAATAACAAAATACTTGTTTTTGGAGTACATTATGCAAGGGGCACTTGTGAAAAAACAGGGCATGGATGCAGTGCATTGTGGGGATAAACTCAGTACATAACTGGGTGAAGCTATTGCCATTGTTGGAGCAGCCCCACTGCATTCTGGCCAAGAGCGCACTGCATTTTGAGTTGGGATGTGGTGCATTGTAGGTGCGCTACGAACCCGGTGAACCGAGTTCAATACCTGCTCAAGGCCACCATCAGTGACAATTATCTGAAATGGTCTTGGTCCTCCCCTTTGGTCGGCTCAGCCTCAAATGCGTAGCTGGTGCACTGTGTAAACATCGGGCATGGTTCTGGTCACCCACCCCCTCGTGTGCCGTGCTGGCCAACATCAGTGTTCGCTAACAGCACTTGCCCCAACAGTCTGTTAAGGCTATATGGGCGATCCTGGTCTGGTGCCATGTTGGGAAACTGCAGTGGATTGCTGAGTGAATACAATACACGTGTAGGACTTGAAATGACACGCGTCTGGTTGCGCTAATTAAGGGGTGAGGTCGTTAAGAGACGCCGCAGGTGTTAAGGGCAACTGAGGACATATAGTTGTTGTTGCGCCAATTAAAGGGGGAGGTCATTAAGAGACGCCACAGGTGTTAAGGGTAACTGTGGACACAGGCCGGTGATTGGTCGAGAGAGTAAGTGTCTACGAAAACAACATCACGTGACATCACGTGAGGCTGGGGGCCTGGGGGCGAGCAGCGAAGCGGGGGATGACATAATTAATTGGGGCTGATTGGTTCGGGGATAAAGACAGAGCGTAGCGGAGAAACGTGAGTCTTTTGGGAGCGTTGGAGTCGGAGCTGGAGACGGTGCCTGGGACAGAGACGGAGCAAAAGAAAGTATAGTATAAGGTAGCAGTGAATTAGAGTGTATAGTGTAAGGTAGCAGTGGATAGGAGTGTATAGTACACGGTAGCAGTGGACAAAGATAATACAGTACAGTAGCAGTGGATATATAGTACGGACAGAGTAGCAAGGACGGAGCGAGTACAGCGTATCAAGCAGCAGAGTAAGAGACCTGAGTGGAGAAGAGAGAGAGAGAGAGCGAAGCGGAGCGAGCGAACGGAGGAACATTGAACGATGCTGTCGGAGATGTGAACTATATGCGGAATAAAAGGAACGAGAAAGACAAAGAAGTTGTCGCGTCAGTAACAGTCCTACACACGTCTAAAGGCCTCAAAAGTGCGCTGTAAAATAATATCAGACACCCGACATAATCATGAACATATATGCCCCCCATATCTTGGCAGAAAGTAGGCGTGGCATTGCCCGAGTCGAGTTCTATTGCATCAAATTCTGCTCAGTCGATCCGGCAGCCATCTTGAAAATTTCCGTGTTTACCTTCGCTTACATTCTGTGGTTCACAGAGCATACAAAACCATACCAATACCTTCCATTCGCCACTAAGTGACGGTGATGTCACCACGACGACTGTGACAGGCCAGGTGCATTTTGAGGCCATGTGAAGTGTCGAAAGCTCGCTGACAGAATGTCTCAGGATTGACCCAGGTTCCTTGATTTGGCTGACTGATATGACCGGTAGATGCATCAGCTGTACCCCACTGTGCCAACTTGCTGCATTTTAGTCACCCCGTGCTCCGCTCGTTGTGGGCGTTGTTCCTCTGCCCTCCATTGTTGCTGGAAGGTGACTGCTTCCAACTGCCCAGCAGCATTCTTCACGAGCCTCCATAGAGGCCGATCTTGACATTGCTGGTACCAGTTGTCGGAAACTCCACTCAGCTCCACATCCTCACGTACTGCATCAGCCCATTTCTTCTCCAGCCCATGTCTTTCCCGTTTAGCCCCCTTTATGCGGCCAAACAGAAACTGATTGGAAATGTGGTGGCTGGGCATGTGGGCTACATGACCCAGCCAACGCAGCCTTGCTCTCCAGAGGAGCTCACTGATAGGAATGTGTCCAGATCTTTCAAAGGTGTTTTGAGTTTATCACGCAATCCAGCCTGGTTAAACCCAGGATGGATAGTAGGCAATGCAGGCTGACTGTTTCTAACCAGTGCAGATGTTCCATTAGAGGGGTCCACGTTGCACAAACATAGAGAAGGGAGTTCATGACTGGCTGAGAAGACCGGAATATTCTCTCGGAGCGACAGACCAGGTAGCTTCCACACAGCATTGTGCAGCCGATGAAAAGATGCCGCTCGACTGATTCGGAGTGAGACCTCTGCTGTCAAACCGGAGCTGGTCATAAGCACACTGCTCAGGTATGGGAAACTCTCCACTCTATCCACAACTGCTCCATCACCAATGGTGAGCTGAGGGGCTGGAGTTTTTGGTGGCACAAAATACCCGGGCAGGTGCTTAGTTTTGGTGGGGCTGATGGTATGACCCCACCTCTTAGTGGTACACTCCAGGTTCAGCAGCAGCACCTCCAACTCCTCCTCTTGAGTGAGCAGAAATCCCTAGATCGTCAGCATACATGACATGGTTGAGCAATAGGGAGCCATCTCTCGGCCGCACCCAGGCATCGATCAGCCTCGCGTATCTGTACCAGATGGAAATTCCTCCGGGACAGTCATGGAAAGCTTCTCGAACTACGTGGTCAAAGATGATGTTAACTAATGTGGGAGCCAGAGGACATCCCTACCGCACCCCTAGTTGAACAGGGAATGGCTCCGACTCCTGGCCACATAGCTTTACCTTCGTTTGCCCACCATCATGAAGGCCCTTAATCATTGTGAGCAGAGAGTCGGTGACTCTGAAAGCACGAATAACTGCCTACGGCCCTGACTTGTTGATGGTATCATAGGCCTTGACCAGTTCAATAAAGCAGAGATGTAGGTCTTGTTTGAATTCCCTACAAGTTTGCTGTAGCAGACGGACAGAAAATATGGCATCTGTGCAGGACCGCCCCGGTCTGAAATCACATTGGGGCTCCGCAAGCCTCAGCATCCCTGGCCAGGCCATGTTGAATAATCCTTGCCAGGACCTTTCCCGGCACACTGAGAAGAAAGATGCCCCTATAGCTGTTTCAATCTGCGCGGAACCTGTCCTGTGGTCCAGACAGTTGTGATGATGTCATGTAGGGCAGTCTGCACACAGATGCCACCCTCCCTCAGCGTTTTGCTTGGAAGATCATCTCTGTCTGGCGCTTTTCCTGGTTTCAGACTTCGGATCACCCATCGCACTTCCTCCACAGATGGCACCTCAGCCAACCATTCAGAAGGAGTGGTTACTTCTGCCATTATTTGAGGCACTGCAGCCCTAGCAGGGTCGTTCCCACCTTGCCCCTTGATGTTGTTTGAGCTGAGGGAATTGCCCTCCCCCAAGACCACACAAAAATGCTCTGAAAACCTGCAGACCTGTTCCTGGGGGTCGGAGATCGGATTATCATTCTTTTCTTTAAAGATGGTGATAGGTGAGGTACTGCAAGTTACTTTTGTGATGGAATTGAATCATGATTAGTGATCGTGGGCTACTGAGACAGATTCCATCTCCTCAGCAAACCACCCCCACCACTAATCCTTGCAGCACCGCACGGCTCTCCGAATCTCCAATCGAAGGCTGCGGTAAGCCTCCTCATTCTCAGATGTTGGATTTTGTAGACGATGGGAGTGGGCCTGTCGTTTTCTCTCAACCAGCCGGAACACTTCCTCCTTCAGCCGGGGTCTGTGGGGAGGTCTGTACCGCACACCCAATGCAGCCATTGCAGCTGCATGAGCCACAGTCCTGAACTTCACCCATTTTCCTTTAGCATCAAAAGGAGGGGGGACACAATGCTTACACCAGCTGCAAGCAATGTTGAAATTTTTGTTTGCAACTATCTTCAGCTAGCTGAAACCAGGCCACTGTGGGTTTGAATGGGGTCCTAGATGAACACCCACCATTGGAGTGGAAGAATGGCCAAGCGCATCTTACAGATGACAAAACCGATGGTCAGTGGGCAGATCAGCTCCACGGTAGGTCCTGGTGTCAAAGACATGGGCCCGCATCCGCTGGTCCGTAATGATATTGTCCAGCAGATGTTCTTGCTTGGATCCAGTGTACATCCATGATGTTTTGTGGATGCGCCGATGCCGGAACAGTGTGTTCATAATTACAAGCCCATAGGCTGCACAGAAGTCTAGCAGCCTCCTTCCGTTATTATTGAGCTGATCTGGTCCATGTCTTCCGATTACGCCAACCCAGGTGTCTGCGTCATGACCCACTCGGGCATTAAAGTCACCTAACAGGATGACTTTATCCCGAGGGGCCACTTTAGCGAGCACCTGGGACAGGAGGTTATAGAAGAGGTTTGACTTATCGGCTTTGTCTGTATCCATCCACTGATGTTCATCTTCGGTGTGGACATAAGCAATCACCACTACCATTCATCACCTCTTATTGATGGGAAGGCGAGCCCACAGTAGCCTGGGACTTACAGCTTTCGACACCTCACAGCCACGCTCCTACACCCCGTTCATTCTTTTATTCAAAAGAAGTGTCACTCCCTGCTGTTTAACAGTTTCCTGCCCTGAGTGGAGAACTGTCCACCCCTCATGATGACTAGAGCCAGAATCGGTCCACCGGACCTCCTATATTTCACAAAGGTCCAGGCAGTATCGGAGTGGCAGCCTCTCTTCCACAAAGAGAGTCCAAACATTCCAACCTCAGTGTTTTCTTGTCCCTGGCTCTGTCAGATGGAGTTTGGCCAGAAGGCGTCATGAACACCTGTCCCCCTGGTCTCTAGCACCTGGTCTTTAGCACCTGGTCTCTAGCACCTAGGTCTCTCTTATTTGGTGTTTCCACCGTGGTGCTTGGTAGAAAAAAGTGCCAGGTGGAGGGGTCACCAGCCCCTCGCACGCACTGATCTACATACACATCCCCCACTCACACCAACAACGGTACTGTATACGTACAGTATTGACAACGGGTTAATAACTATCGGGTTCATCATTCGCGGGTGAATTGCCGTGCCGATTGAGTAATCCCATTGGGTAGTATAGTGTCATGTGAAATGCCCCCTTTTTTGATAGGCTAATATTTGCATGATTGGTGATTCTGATGCAGTCTACTGTTTTTTGTATCACAGCGCCTGAGTTCATCCCCCCCCTCTCACCTCTTAGAGGTGTCTGGTCTGGTGCTTGCCTGAAAGGCAGCTGGATGCCATCTTGGCTTGGAATGCGATATCCGAGTTGGTCAGGTTAGTGAGCTCTCCCAAGATATGTGTAATTAGGCAAACTTTAAAATGTATGGGGCCCGGACCTTTTTAATTATGATATTTTAGCTGGGTAAATGTAAACATACTTTTTACTTTTTTCCAACGTGATTTGTTATTTTTAACTGGTCTTGTGAGCCTCTGTGCCTTCTCCATATAAATAGTTGATGCCAGAGAATATACACAGATCCTAGTCACCTTGAAATAAATTTCGTTCCAAAAAGTATTCAAGCAAGGTCATAATTAGTAAAAAAAAAAGTCATAGGTTACTCTTTAACTTGTTAGAAAATGGATCAAAACTTGACAAGGTAAAATACTTACCTGTCCACATTTCCCTGAGGATGAGAACCATATTCACTTTCCAGTTTGAAAAGGTCATCTTCGAACCTCTCCACACTTTGTTCCTAGTAAGGGAACCAGGCTTACCTATCCATACTATATGACCATTGTCAACTTCATAACAGTGCTTCACATATTCTGGAGTTTGCAGTTTGTCTCAACAGCTAACCATTGAACCCTGCTCACCTTTGTGACTGCTGTGACATGCTGACTGTTGAGGAAGGATGTCCGGCTCTCCTGGGCAACCAGCAAGCCACACTTTTGACACCACTAACCCGTTTCCGAGGTATCACATGGGCTGCTGAGGGACGCCCTCGAGTTGGACGAAGCAGTCACCTTGACACTGCTCGCAATATTTTGTTTCCCACTGAGACGGCAGCGAGCCTCGGCCAAGGCAGCACTCAAGCTACCGCTCGACTTTTGGAGGCTGACACCACTGGCCGAAACGCTGCCGGAAGAGTCTTTGAGACGCCCTCCAGCAGATATTGTTTTGAGACCTTGAAGACATCTGGGACCCATGGGGGCCACCTGTTTTCAGGGGTGAGTCACTGGTAGGTCACCGTGTCAAGCCGGTCCCTTCATGCCAGTCGCAACTTGTCAGCATTAGTTGTGACCCGGGAGTGGTGGAACTAGCCGTTCCAAACCCCCCCCACCCCCACGTGTGCTTGCATGAACTCAAAATTGCATGACACCGTTATGTAAAGCATGAGCTCTTTGTTTGAGGTGATGCCTATGCAGGTGGATGTGCAATGTCAATGTTGATGGCTGTGTGGCTTATACTCCATAAGTTCCGTACTGAGCTTGTCTGCGAATGTGTATTTGATGTCTTGTTCCACAAGGTAGGTGGGCTTCGGTAGAATGCATCGCAAGAAGCGATGATGGCGATTGGCTGAGACAGGCAACAGAAGGGCACCAAAAATATTAACGCAATCCATAAAGGAGTCCGTCTCCATCCTCCCCCTCACCGCAATGACCGAGTTATGATACCAACTCATGCTAGAGCAATATGGGCCATGTTATTGCAGAAGCATGTGTGATGTCAATTGCAAAGGGGTCCCTTTGATCCCTTTATTTCAAGCCAAAATTATATTATCTTATCTGAGTAAGACGAGAAGCAATTCATTGTGAAGTCCTCAAGATTAAATGTTTTATACAAGTCGGTAAAATAGCCATGCCAATTCACGTTAAAATTTTATTTCACCATAACCAACCTTATGATGTACAATAATTAGCAAAGGGCAAAAAGTGATCCACACTCCTACTCAATCATGTATACACAAGAAGCTCAATAGTTCCGAATTGAAACCATTCAAGTCCCCCGTTATGAAGATAAGATAAACATGTGAGAAGATGTTATTGTATGGCCTACAATAGGCACTATAAATGTACAAGAAAACGATACTGTTTAAAATAATATAATTGGCAATTACTGTAATCAAAAAATTATTATTAAACATGTGGGACATCATTAGTGCATTAGTTGAAAATTGATCACATTGAGGTCACCCAAATATTACCAAAACAAATCAGTCTTCTGGAAGTCAATATAGGCCTGAACAGTTAAATGATCTCTAACCCAAATTTTGTGCAAAGTAACTTCAAATTGTACTTTCATAGGTTGTATTTTTCTCTCAAATTACAGTACCTGTATTGCATCATGATATGTATCAGGTAATATAAATAATCACCATTATATATTGTACATTCATATGAAACCTGTCAATCAAGGAAGTTTACCAACATTGTACTCTTGAATAAAATCAAATTTCCCAACACATACAATATCCATATTGTAGACTAATCCCATGGCACAGGACTTAAACTGCTAAATTAATATATGCCTTCTGAAATCCATTCTAAGTAAACCCAAACACCTATTTGGTATATATAATGATTTCATGCAAGAGATCATGTTGGAGGTGGCGTCCATTAAGTTGTGAATTCTTCGTACGTGACGAGGGGTTTGTAACGGGGCCCTGCGGCGCGGTGGCGGTAGACTTTCACCGCGGCCACGCACACGGCAGAGACGACCAGGGCGGCAGCCAGGGCGTACACCATGCCCGCCAGCGAGCTCAGCACCCCAGAAGCTGCGGTGGAAAGGGAGGGGCGATAAAACCAGCGAAAGCACACAAGCCAGCCAATACAGAGATGTGAGACTCTTCTCCATATATATCTTGTTGTAACTTGCTGACCCACCCCTACTATGCATCTGTGAAAAAAAGCTTCATAGCTCACCAGATTCCTGCAGTCTAAAAACATATTTTGTGTGCGTTTGTGTGAATGTGATACGGTTGTCCATTTTCACTTTAAATTCCTCCAATGTGTGTGTTACCTACACATTACATGATGCTTCAGCAGAGCCCTGCTAATTGGGCTCCTGTAGAAAACTGAGGAAATCAATTGGGTACACTATGGGCCTGTCACCACACATAAGCGATATGAAATCACATAAGCGATATGAAATCGAACTTGTTCATGAAGACATTCTGATAGCTTTCAGTTAATCTGCATATATTTATGGTTCAGGGTTTTTCTTGTACTAACTCAATGCTACTGAATGTATTTACTCCTAGAAAGCCGCTGATGGGTTGTGTAAATAATACTTTAAAAACATTTCTATGAACATATATGAAGGAGACATTTGGAACGCTTTTTTATTTTGTTAAATATATGGATCACCCCGAATCATTGCACATGGCTGCCATGGTTCAATTAACATGACTTGCCTTGTGTATTATCTAATGGCAACGCTTTTCATCTGTTACCCAATCCTCCCTGCCAGCTTCTACAGATCAGAGTTGTGCCAGTGCCATTTGTCAGAGGGCACGGCACATTGGAGATCGGCCGACCGGTAAGGAGGAGCTCACCCTGCCGTGACTTGCGGAGCAGCACGGGGCCCTGGGAGAGGTCCACTTTGTGCTCGGCACGATTATCCCGGCTGACGAGGTCACGCACGGACCGCTTGGCGCGAACGCACCCTCGCTGGCATCTCGAGTTCAGGTCGGAAATTTGGCAAACGCGTACGGAGCACTCCAGGTACACCTGCAAAGGACATCGGTAAAAGTATCGGCCATTGTCATTTCTTTACAAATGTAAACACCACCAAACTACTTGCAAGCAGCGACAGTACAATTTAATTATGTAAGAGACCATGACCCACAGTTCCTTTGACTAACAGTTGCTTTTGTACATGAGTTTTTGAAGGAATATATATATACATTTTGAAATTAATACCTGTAATAAAATGTGTATTAAAATATGATAAAAAGGCATACATACAGGTGCTTTAAGATGTTTAAACGCCAAATAGACACCTATTACAAAGCATCAAATCTGCATTAACCACACATGCTTATGGTAAAAATGCAAGCAAATGTGCTTTTAAAATGTATGCATTGTTTTTTAATCATCAGCGCTAGGCCAAAGGCCGCCAACAGGCGAACAGGACAAGGACAATGCAAACGCCAAAGCTTCACTAGGCTGGGTTAATCAATTGTATCTGCAAAAGGGTACCATTTGATATTCAATTGGAAATGTAAAAAAGTAATGGGGTTCTAAAATGAGGGATGCAGCTCCTTGCTACTTAGTGCTACTTTACTGATTGGTTTGTGTTCTCGAAAATGAAGCCTTTGTGTTTATAATGTCCGAATATTAGGGATTGTGATGGCATATATGAAGATACACAGGTGAAAAACGCATCCATTATGCTCTGCTGTGATGCAGGCCATTCATGGCTTGGCTTCGCGAACAAAGATCTAGGAAGGACATCCACGTCTTCTGCAGGCACGCTGGTGGCTGAAGAGGCTTATGCGGGACAAGCAGGTCCTGCCACAACAGCTGCAAGTATAGGTCTCATCTGGGATGGGTGCTGAGGGATCATGGTTCTTCCTCCTCCTTTTGTCCTCCATACGGGCCCTGCGGGTATCTTCGAAGAAGGAGGTGGCCTGGTGGACTGTGTGCCGCCAGGAGTTGTGATCAGCTGCTTGTGTTGCCCACTGACGGTGATCGATGCAGCAAGCAATGAGGGACTTCTTCAGGGAGTCTTTCTATTGCTTTTGTGGTGCCCCTATGTCGCGATGGCCAGAGGATAGTTCCCCATACAGCACAATCTTCATGCATTACCCAATGCAGATATATATGCATATTACTAAAAGTAACACAGAAGACATCAAACAATCGCTGTGCATTGTATCATCTCATTACTTTTTGGATATGGGCAAATGCATAAATAACACTGAAAAACGAAATGAGGGAAGTTAATTGTGACGAGTTGAAAGAGAATCCCCTCCCCCACCATACAATTTGCTCAGAGAATGCGTCTCTCTGATCTGTTCGCGGTGTTTGTGAAGGAGTGGGTGAGACCATGCTTATGCATTGTATGAATTGAGTGGAAAATCTGGGTGTCGCCCAGCCAAGGTTTCATCATCTAGGGAGAAGGCCCTCTGGATTATGCAAATGAGCATGGGTACAACATGGATGATAATAATTCAATGGGGGGGGGGCTTAATGTTCTGAACTTCGGACTGCTACTGTGTGGAGAGACCACGCCAAGAGCCACGCGTGTGCTTGGTTGACTGCTGGAGAGTGTGGGGGGACCACACCAAGTATAAGGACTAAGCGCTCTGTCTGCTGCTGGAGTGTGAAAAGACTACAGCAAGAACAGGTGTGCTGTAGCTGCTGCTTACTGTGAAAAGGCCACATCAGTAACTGTGAGAGGCCCTGGCTTACGACTGTCTAGTGTGAAGAGACTGCACCCGAGCACCCGTGTGCTCTATCCGCTGCTGGAGTGTGGTGAGACCACACCGAGGACCCTGAGCGCTCCATCTGCTGCTGCAGTGCGAAACGACTACATCAAGAACTGGGGACTCTGTCTACCTGCTGCGGTACGGAGAGACAATACCAGAGGCTACACTAGTGCTGTATGTACTACTGTGGGTATATAATGCTTCATGTGCTAAAGGATTTTACCCATCGGCAATCCTTTGATGGCTACTCTTGCACACTGGAACCCCACCTCCCACCATGTATGACAACTACGAATCGTCACAGTAATATTAGACCCGCATATAGTCCCCTGTGCCTTCTTTACACTTGGCAACCCATATGTTCAAGCACTGATATACTCAATAATCCAGCTCAGGGAACATTTTCAACACCAGATATGGTGAGGGGGAGGAATTAACTATGAATCTGGGAGAAACTGGCTTGCGGAACAGTTCCCCTTGTTCATATACTCATTTGCCCTTGGATGTATGCCCTCGTGCTCTAGAGCTGTGCATTTTTGTAGCTAAAAATAACTTGCCTACTGTGTTATTTAATTTTAGGAGTAATGGTAAGTATGATTCTCATACAGCAAGTCTGGTATTTAGCAAGCGTTGCTGGAGATGGAAAACCTCCAAGACAAACTTCCCACCTAAGAATAACCAACACAGGGCGTGGTTATCGTAGTGAATAACAGATACATATATTAACATTGGGGGAGGATCAAAGAAACATGTGCGTATGTTTGTCATACGCACACGAGAGCATATGGGACAACCTGGGCCCACAGCAGGTGTGCATTGTCCGTAATAGGGATTTGTAAAATATACACCATGGATACATTTAAAATTGTGAGATGCTAATGGGAGCTGACTGGATACCACGAAAAAAGGATTTTCCAGATGATAGAAAGGTTTCCCTGTCATTAAGCATGTTGGTTACATTATCGTTTCACGTGGGAATCAGAGATGTGAGAACAGGATGCAATATTTCGATAATCCCTAACGTAAGGAGGTCACAGAGTTTTGTTTATGAAACCTCGGGTCAAGGAGTTGGGAACTTTACCTGAAAGCCATTGGAGAACTCAACACTCTGACGCTGAAACGCTGTCTCTTGTTGTCGCCACTGTAGTAGTTGACGTATGAGAGATCCTGTTGACATCTGCGGCCCCACGAACACGTGCCGTCACAAACACATTCAAGTATCTGTGTTCATTCTCCATGGGCCTAGTGCTTGTATCAACGATACACCGCTCTTGCCACCACATGCTCATTGTGAAAGGTGGTGTACACCATCTCTGCGTTATGGAAAACATGAAGGAGGCGTGTTTGTGTGTACAGGCCACGTTAGCAAGTTTCCCTGCTCGCCAAATGAGAAGCACTTAATTTAATTAGCAAAATTATTTCAGACAAGTCTTCACAGGCATTATTGACGGCGCTAATAATTATGGAATCAGATGAGCAACAGGCACTCCATGAATGGAAAGATGGGCACGTGGTCAGAGTAATTATAGTAAAGTAAAACTGTAATGCTCACACTTGGAGAAGAGTGATTGGGGTGCGACAAACTATAGCCAAGCGGGGAAAGCAGCCACATGGTGAGCCTACACCAAATATCCCCCCCCCCTTCCCCAAGCTCTGCGGTCCTCTATATATTAAGGAGTTATCGGCCAATTAGCGTTTATACCTGTCCCATGAATACCCACATGCGAGGGGGCAACACCCTATCCCATACAGAAAGAAAATATTTCAGTCCACACTTTGCTGTTCTGCTTTCTCCTGGCAAGCCAGTGTATGGCACCTCCTCGACGTCCACAGGAAGGGAGTTTAACAACAGCTGTGTGTGATCCATCAACCCTCGCCTACACAGTGGTGGATTAGAGGCCACGGGCAGAGCCACCACTATCTGGCCTGTACGTAGCTTGATTAAGAGAACTGACGAACGGAGGTAAGTGGGCTTCAATCCCACAGAAAGCCAAGTCGGCCGTGTACCCATTTCTAATGATGAAGTAGGAGTCGCTGTCATCGGCGCCGGTGAAGGGGGAGGCTCTGCACGTCTCCAGAAAGAGCTGAAGGTCATTGGCATGGGAGTTGAGAAGCACCTGGTGAAGAAACGCACAGATGAACTCTTAGGGGTGGGGTGGGCTGCATCAGGAGAGGGATGGGGCAGTGGGCACAACGTCGCAAACAAACCGGTGAACGTGCATCGACCACAAAGGCACGCAACCTTATGAATGGCTTGGGCTTTTATGAAATAGAATTAATCATGGGTCAAATTGTGTGCTGTATGAATGATAAATATGCAAGTTGTGCAACGCACTGGCTAATAGCAACATTTATTCTGCCTGCTCCTATAACGCCTTGGTCTTTCCCGTATCCACTGATAATTGTTTTTTCCCCTTTTAAGGATCCACACATGTCAGTTTATAACAAAACTGTTGCTTTTAATAAAAAAAATAATTGACCTTAAAAAATATGCACAAAAGTGATTGCATTCCGACAAAGCACACTGGGACTTCATGCGTGCTTTTACTGTTCAAACTGTTTTTATATGCATTATCACTAATATGAATAACATTTTTTATTTGCCACCTCAGCAGATTGTGAGGAATCCACCTTGCTACATTGGTTCTTGAAAACACGGCAATTAATTAATCTGTCCCACCTCCACGTAGATCGGGGCTCCGAGGTCCACCTCGAATGGGTACGAGTGGACAGGCTGACCGAAGCTCTGGTCCATGTAGAGCTCTATGCTCAGGTCAAAGGTGCCCGAGCTGTACTTGTCATGCACTCTGCAGAGCGAGAAAGAGGGTCCCAACATTTAAGAATCTTACGAAAGACACTCGTGCACAATGATTGCCCCTTGAGAACAAAAGCTTAAAAGTGTATAAAAAAGGAGAGAGACACCTGTAATTTAAACCGAGACACATGCAGAGGGTTGCATGGATTAGAGAACATACTGTGAAGAAAAGTCAGCTTTGGAAGGATGAATGTTTAGCGATTGAGACGAACCACCGGAGTGGAGGCTAAACAAAGCTATACATCTTCCGTGGATGTGGAAGCCACGAATTCAACTCGCGTGTAAGTCTAGATAAATAGTACAGGCTTGTAAAGGCCTTCATCCAGCAGTACATAGATCATGGCTGATCTTCACTGTATTCATTGATAGACATAAATTTGATTGTTGGGAAAATGTCAGTCTCTTGCGTGCAGTTGCCAGTAACTGTTAGTAGACGAACAAGTCACCAAAGAACATCGACCGAGACGTTTTAAGAGCTTCGTTTCACCCAGGGACAAAAGTATATTGGAACCCGGTGCCGTTACCTGGGCACGTAGCTCGCTACTACATTCCCTTCGGACCCAATGTAGCAGTGCACGGGGATGCGCAGTTTCTTGGCTGTGGTTCCCGACACGAAGCCGTACGCCGTGTTCGAGTACACGATGGTGTCGCCATGGGCCTTGGGGAGAGGGAAAACAACATAGAGCGCACGTGCCCCCTCCATCCCTCCCACTCAAGAGCATCATGTCCAGAATAAACACCGCATTTGAGACCCATACATCATAGCTTTGATATTCTTCCTCGACAGACACAGGTGTAACCAAAAACCACATCAGAACTTCAGCAGGCTGTTCACACATCTTCATGGAAAATGTAGGATAAGCCACAGTGGTAGGACTGTGGCCATGCGCTCCTTCAACAGAGGCGGAATAGCAAAACTACACACTCTCCTAAAGGCCTCTCGTTGGGGCTAGGAGCAGACCTTGACATTTGCATTTATCTCCTGAACATATGAACCTTATGGCGAGACCCCGGGGTCCCGAATAAGCGGAAGTCAAAATCGTAATTAGTTCATGTATTTTTGGCGACTCCGTCCCACCGCACACACCAACGCGGTAACCCACCTGCCATGGATCATTCTATTGTCATGTCGTCCAAGTGCAGCAAGGACGAATGCGCAGAAGAAACAAAACTTTGAAACCTTGTTTATCGCATCACGTAGAGCTCGTCGAGAGGAATAGATTACCATATCGTTCACCTTCAACAGACATAAAATTACGTCGCAACGCAGTTTATGCGAGAGCCGGGGGATTATGGGACCCTGGGGTCCTGCCATAACGTTCATATTGCCATGCGAAAGAACAACATTGAATAGCATCAGCTTCTTATGTAACCTCAAACTCGAAACGACGTATGGTTAGAATATGCTTTACAGCCTTTTTCTGATGTCAAATTGACCTGTGTGGCTATCTGCAAGTATAGCTGCAGGATTCCTTTTGGAGCAGCAGAGGGAAGGGCAGCTGAATCGCAGGTCTTGGGTACGAGTCCCGAGTCAAGTAAGACTAGTCTAGGATCTCAGGTGTGTGCGCGGGGTGCTCAGCTCAGCATGGTCCCAGTTGAAATACCTCGGCCGTGGTGCCACAGGACTCAAAGTCGCTATGCAGGATCAGGTACTGCTGCGTGCAGTAGCCACGGCACGAGGGGTCCTCCAGGTGGATGTCATACGGTGAAAGGTTGAGTGCGCTCAGTTCGTCCAGTCGGATCTGCAGCTCCAGGGATTGCGATGTGCAGTTCAGTTGCGGTGACTCTGCAAAGTGGACGTGCACGAAGAACGTTGGCGCATCCATTTTCACTCCCAAAAATGAATCTGACTAAACACAAATGCTTTAGAACTAGGGGAGGCCCAGGACCGATTCAGATAATTGTGAGTGGTGTGGGACGAGAACAGGAATAGAACTTGGATAGCCGGGTGCGTAGCACAGTGCGGTAACCGCTGCTCCAGCACTCCACACACACACACGCATGTATTCCGTGTACAATGACTACCAGCAGGCAAAACAGGGAAACCTCTCACCAAAATGTTCACAGTTGATGCCTGTCAAGCCTGGGCTGCATCGGCACTTGTAGTAGGGATAGAACTGTTGGGAATCGCAGACTCCGCCATTGAGGCATGGGAAAGACAGACATCCCCCTGAGAAAAGAGAACCGTGTATTATTAAATTACCTTTTCACGATCGCAAAATCCTCGACCCCAAAAGGCATTGTTGGATTCCTAAGCCAATCAGGCAATCGTGCACAGTATAAGCAACCCATGTGATACTGAATGATAATAATTTAGGCTTGTAACTTGCCGCGCAGTATTCGCTCGTTCTCCAGAGATGGTAACTTAAACGAGCAAGAAGGAACCACAGACAACTGGGAAAGGTGAGCTGGAGACAAATTCTCCCCCAAGATCTGCGGTCCTCTATATATTAAGGTGTTGTGGGCCAATTAATGAGTGCTTGCATGCCAGAGAAAACCGAAGCGCTCGGAGAAAACCCACGCATGCAAGGGGAGCAAACAAACTATCCCATACAGATGGAACAGATGGAGTCCACATTTTGCCGTGTCGTATTCCCCTGGCAAGCCATGGTATGACACCATCTCGACGCACATGGGAAAGGAGTTTCACAACATGTGTGTGATCCAGGTGTGCATAGTAACCACCGCCTGGCTGTTCTTAAACTCGAGGAAGAGTGAAACTGCCACACATGCCTTAGCATTTCCTGGTTGCCACATGTTCTATCATTATCCGTGCCTCCGATTAGCACGGCTGGCTATGTATGGTGCAAAAGAAGTCCGACATACAGCTGTAATGTCACAAATTATAGGGCTTGTTTTAATTACATTTTCTAAGATATGTTTTAGAAGATTGCAAGTCTCCAAGACTTGAACATACTGTAAAATTTGCAATCGACTTTGACACTTTTGTCAACAATATATCACTAATGTGTGTTTATACTGCTGTAGGGGTGTCAGGGGAAGGATTCCCACCAATAGGAGGGTTAGTGGGAGGGGTAATCGAGGAGATATAAGGGGAGAACGGGCGGGAAGAAGGGGCCTTTGGCGGGAACGAGATTGGGACGGCTGGGGACGGGTGTGGATGGGAGAAAAGGATTAAAAGACGAACCCCCTGCAACCTTGTGTCGGCTCTACTTTACACTGCACTCCAATGGATGTCAGAACCCTCTTACAGCCGCAATGAATGTATACACATTCGAGTGTTGTTGTTTGTACTGTACTTAACGTATGTTTACGTGAACGTTTGCACCCTACGTAGCCAACCGTGATAATGAGACGTGTTCATGAATCTCACTTTCTTTAATGTTGATTGATATTAGAAATAAGGCGTGTAACGATTCAGCGACTCAAACGCACTGCAATCATCATGGCATGAGTGAAAATATATTATTTTCGGTGGACAAGCCGTGTGCGATTAGGTCCCATGTCCCCGGGCAGCCACTAGAGAGAGACATTACATTCAGCACAAGCTTTAAAAAAATGTGAGCCTTGAATTTTAAATCATGTTCACAGTACCTAGAATCATCCAGTGGATGCCGTAAAACACAATGCAAGAGTTCTGGGTTGCTCAAGACTTACAAAACATGTTATAAATATTATAGTTGTATTAGACTTATTACGTTTGTTTAACAAGGAAAGTGTCACTATGCCATGACGTCTTCAAATTTGCACTGTGACGCTGCACAGACCTAACCATATCCCTAAACTCTCTATAAAGGCCTCACTTTCAATATGCTGCGTTTACAGGAGTTGAGTTGCAAGATCTAACCAGCAGTTGCAGTGGTAACTACTCTATATGACGAAGCATACATATACAGACACAAACATCTGTCCATTGTGTCTTGTGTTGTGTGGAAATATTACCTCAATTGGGATAACGTCACTATCCAAAGTTCCGTTTTATTAGTGGTGCGTAAATTATCTCGCCACCATTGATAAGGATGGCTGTTTGAGATAATGAAATGTGCAAGAATAAGTCAATCATAACCACACGGTACTGCATTTCATTTTAATATAAAATACGAGCCTAACGTTCTGAAAATGTTACGGCATCGTCGAATACCCAATTAATTAGGTTCTATATAATGTTTGGTGTAGAAGCTAGTCCAGTCCTACATAGCTCATCTAATCCAACTTCACTCGCAATGTGCTGCGTTTACATGAGTTGCGTTGCGTGATCTCACCAGGTGGTGGAGTGGAAACTGATCCATGTGATGGCGAATACATATATATAAAGAGACACAAACACGTTAACATGATGTATTACATAACTCTTCTGCTCTTCATAATTCATGCTGAACACATGTTGCAAAAAATACACTTAATGTTATGTGCAAATATTCAGTTGATAGTGATCAAGCTCCAGCCTCTACACAACTCTACTAATTGACACACACTATGCGACTGCTTATTAGCACATGTACATCAACAACACAAATACTCCAAAAATGTTTATATTTGAATTATTTTTTGATAGCAAATCGAAATCTACGTGCAATATTAGATGCCAAAGGTTAATGCAATATTAGACTCAAGGTTCTGGTGTTTTGGCTGTAAAAAATTTTGGTGATCGTTTCCTTCACGAAACCTTTATAAGATATAATTCGAATGACAATCCATTGCATGGTTTCCCACTAATTTGAGGAAAGGGTTTCCCATGCTGTGTTAACCATGGCGTGGTTATTGGTGAAGTGGGGGCCCAGGGACAGTTAAAATATCAGTCACCACTGATGTTACCCATGGCTGGGAATCAAAGTCATGTTGGCTGAATCACCGTGGAATTTCCCAACCAGTTTTCACTTCGTAATCTAAAAATCTCAATTCATGATATTTTCAGGCCTACAGTAAACATTGCAAGCATCATTTAAATGTACAAATATTTCTGATTTGGATTTGTTTTTACATCCCACGAAGATGTGTGGTAACAGTCAACTTATTTATGGTTCATATATATTTGCAAACAGACAGAACCACATGTACCAAAAACGACAGTAAAAACCACACTCACCTAAATACAGTAATACCTAGACATGTGACTTCGATATACAACATTTCAGTATAACGAAGTTTGGATGTATTACCATTATATTAATGGGGGGGGGGGGGGAAGTGAAATGGTAAATACACTGAAATAAATAATGTCTAAAGAACACCTATTTCTTGTGGAAATGTGACTTCTATAAACAAAAGGAAGGAGCAGCAATGGGCTCTTATTTGTCTCCTGTGATAGCGATTTTGAACATGTGTAATAGTGTTCCAGGAGACTTGGACGCCGGGGTTGGAGGCGCACGTATTTATTCCGTGTCGGTACAGCACAACACTGACATACAACACTGGAGGGGGTATCGGCCCCCTCACCCGTCTAACTGGGGATACACTCTCTAGCTACGCCTAGCCTACCTCTGAGTCCTCCACTAACGGGCTAGGGGAGGCTAGCTAGCCCGACACTGGTAAGTCGGGCTCACGGTACCTGGAGTCCCAGACCAGCTCTTACAAGAGCACCGGCTCTGGCTCTCGGGACCATGCCGCTGGCTCGATCCTGTTCGGCCCTGATAAGGGCGGCGATCCAGGGGAGTCCAGGGCTCTATCTACGACGATCTTCAGTCTTCACTGGTTAGCTTCAACATCTCTCTCTGAGCCCTCCGGCTCATCCCCTTTTATACCAAAACCCCCGCTGAGGGGTGGGGCCCCGGGGGATCCCAGCTCCGAGTCAGCCCCCCAGGCTGCCCGATGCGGACGTCGCTGGGAGCACCTTCCCGTGCACCGACATAGCCACGCCCACTGTGTTTCTTTCCCATCTGATCCCATTGTATAACAGCCCCTCCGTTAACACCCCTACACATGGAAGATTTTGAAACAAAAGCAATAGCTTCAAGCACACTAAAACCATCTGCTTGGTTTAGATGTGTGGCTGACACATTGGTGGTCTGGCCACAGGGCAAAGATACACTTAACGAATTTTTAAATCATTTCAACTCGCAATACTCATCCATCCAGTTCACCATGGAAGTGGATGTAAATGTTAAGGTGTCATGAAATGCCAAATTAATTGTATTATGTCTTGTTTGGTGGAGAAGCTAAGCCAGTCCTACTGTGAATATTCACAAGTTTGTGATCAAGTTCCTGCGTCTACACTATTACTCTTTGACATACACTGGTTGACCGGTGCTTGATAGCAGTTTATGTACATGAACAACAAAATAGACCACGCAATAAGTAAACCAATTGAAATAATTATAGTTTTTTCTTTATAGCAGGAAACATTTATCCGATTTAATAATGCTAATTTAGACTTAGGTCACGGTGTTTTGGCTGCACGTTATTTTTTACTGATCATATTTCCTTCTTACCAAAAGGTTTATAACATAATAATAATTTGAAACCCCTTCACATCCACTGCTGAGGAAAGGTTTCCAACGCCGTGTTAATCGTGGCATGGTGATTGTTGTGGGGCCCAGAAATGGTTCAGATGTCACCACTGATAGCTAGGATTCACACTCAGGGCTCCCGATTCAAAGTGTGATGTCGCAAACCACGTTGTCACTGCGCCATCTCAAAGCATCACGTTATTTTCAGGATGAGAGTAAACCCTGCGAACATTGTTTAAATATATCCTATACATTCATTTTCACACCCCACAAAGATAAGCATGGTGACTGAACTTATCTATGGTTCATATATTTGCAACAAGATAGAAGCACATGAGTGCAGTAAGCACCATACTCACCATCATATTCACAATTTGGGCCGTAAAATAATTCGTAGCAAATGCACGAGTGGGGGAGCCGAATGCCCCGCTCGACATCGAACCCGTCTTTGCAGTCCCCTCTGTTTTGGCACGGGTTCGATTCACAAGCAAGGACTGCAGATACAGGTATCACAATTATGCCGTGGATCAGGTTATTCTTTGCATCTGTAGTAGGTTCAATGAGACGTGGATGACGTAGTCGGAGGCACACTTATTTATTAAACGTTTTACTCAATACAGACCAAGGTATACAACACTCGAAGGGGTATCTGCCCCTTCACCCATCTAACAGGGAGATCCCACTATCTCTATCCCGGCCAGCCGATTCCCAGGTCCTCCACTCGAGAGCTAGGGGAGGCTACTGATCCAGCTCTGGCCAAGCTAGGATCACGGCACCCTTAGTCACCAGACCGGCTCTTACAAGAGCATCGGCTCTGGGCTCTCGGGGCCACGCCACTGGCTTGCCCTGGTCAGTCCTTAGAACAGCGATCCAGGAGAGTCCCAGGGCCTATCTAGCCGGTCTTCTTTCTTCACTGGTTTAAGCTAAACACTGAACCCCCGAGCCCACCGGCTCACCGCCTTATAAAGCAACTCCCCCCCCCCGAGGGGTGGGGCCGTTGGGGATCACAGCGCCGTTTCAGCCCCCCAGGCTAAACGATGCGGACGTGGATGTAAGCATCCTTCCCCCTGCGGGCATAACCACCCCTGGTGTGTTTGTTCGCCCTCCCGTAACACCTCTACACATCTCATCACATAAAGACTTAGATTATCTTCAGTGGCATCACTTAATCTTGACAAAGTCAATCACTCAATGCAAACGTTGGCCATTGTCAATCTGTGGCTGGATGAAAGTCTCTACACCTTGTAAGCTATGGAGGTTGTCTGACCATACTTCACCATCCTGGTCAGTGTTGCATGGTAGAAGGACCGAGGACAAAATTTCGGTATCACATCAACAATGTTAGCCATGGTCTGGGGAACTTAGGTAAAGGTGTTCATTGCACAGTCCCACCAATGCACCATCTCCCCCCCCCCCCGCCCGTTTAGAAATGAAGCTGAAAATGTACATGATTAATGTTCTTCAGTTGTGAATCATAAAGGCAGGTGATTTTTTGTTTATAATGAAGAGCCAATTAAGAAAAATAACCGGCAAATGCCTATTTAACGAGGTGCCATCTCTTGTTGCTGTATAAGCTTGTCCTCTCCTACGCAGCTCTATAGTTGACCCAAAATTGCTTTCAATGTGCCGCGTATACATGAGCTGTGGTGCGTGATCTCACTGGGAGTCGTGGTAGCTGTTGGGTATGATGGCGATTGCATGTAGAGACAAAAATAGATTAATATGGAGTGATTATTCATTCCTAAATTATACAGCTCTTCATGATTCATGCTGAATACATACCCTAGAATATTTCACTTCCGTGTCATATGCAACTATTTCTTGAAACGAATAAAGTTTGACTCTACGCAACTTTCAGCTGAACTATCATTACTTTCAAAATGTCTGCTTCACGAGTGGTGTAGAAATCCTCACCAACAGTGGTCATGGGAGCTGTTGCAGATACTTAAATGTACAATAATAATAATAAATTCATAACCACAAAGTCATGCATTTTCTTTTCAATAATTGCCAAATACGAACCTCCAGATCACCATCGTAATACATAAATGTTAATATCCTGTAGAATGACACGTTAAAGCATGCCATATGATGCACATTTAACTGGCTGCCATGTCTGGTTTATCATGAATGAGAGTGCCGTTCGATGGTTCTGCTCAGCCGAGTCAGAATAACTTAAAATGTGCCGCGTATACACGAGTTGTGGTGCGTGGTCTGGTATAGAGTCGTGATAGCTGCTCTGTATGATGGTGATTGCATGTAGAAAGACAGAAACCGATTAAATGATTAATGTTTGAATTGTACTGCTCTACATTATTCATCCTGAATGCACGTCCGAAAAGATTTCACTTTGGTGTTATGTAATCCTCGTGCCTCTACAAAACGATCAGAAAAAACTATATTTTCCAATTTTCTGATTTACGGATAGTATGCAAATTATCTTAATAGCAGTAGCAATCGTGGCTCTTGTAGATCATGAAATGTGCGAGTTAGTGATCAAGTTCCTGCCTCTACACAACCACTCATTGACAAACACTGGGCGACCGCGTTTAATAGCAATGTATCTGAATAACACCACAAATAAATCGCACAATAAGTAAAACAATTTAAACAGTGTGATTTCTATAGCAAATGAAAATTTGTTAATATGGAGATGTCCTCGACTAATTATGGTTTTCTTTTTATTTTAGGTCTCGGTCTTGTGGCTGAAGGTTATTTTTACTGATCAAGTTTCTTCACAAAACCTTTATAGGATAAAACAATAATTTTAATCCCTTTTCATGCACTGCTGAGGAAAGGTTTCTCCACGCCGTGTTAATCATGGAATGGTGATTGGTGGAGTGGGGCCTAGAAATGGTCCGATGTCGCAACTGACGTTACCCCTGGCTAGGAATCAAACTCAGGGTGGCCGATTCAAAGTACGGTGTCCCAAACACGTCGTCACTGCGCCCTCTAAAAATCTCAAAGCATCACGTTATTTTCAGCATGAGAGTAAACCATGGAAATATTATTTGAATATATCCTATTAATATATTTTAAAATCCCACAAAGATAACCATGGTGATTCAACTTATATATGGTTCATAAATATTTTCAACAAGCAGATGCACCAATAAGTAGAGATACTCACACATATTTTCACAAACCGGGCCGTAAGAGAATCCGTAGCAAATGCACGAGTAGGGGTTCCGAATTCCCCACTCGACAACCAACCCCTCGATGCAGTCCCCTCCGTTTTGGCACGGGTTCGATGCACAACCAAGGACTGCAGATACAGGTATCACAATTATGCCGTGGATCAGGTTATTATTTGCATCTCATCACATAAAGGATTAGATTATCTTCAGTGGCATCGCTTAAACTTGACGAAGTCAATCGCTCAATGCAAACGTCGGCTATTGTCAATCTATGGCTGGATGAAAGTATCTACACCTTGTAAGCCATGGAGGTTGTCTGACCATACTTCACCATCCTGGTCAGTGTTGCAAGGTAGGAGGACCGAGGACCAAATTTTGGTATCACATCAACGATGTTAGCCATGTCTTCTTCTTGGTTCTTTCGGTAAAGTCACGTAGAAGGGAAATAATAAAATAATAAAAATAAAACATAATAAAATAATTCTCACGACGTTTCGGCCACAACGCAAGCAGCCGTCCTCAGGCGAAGAACAGGTCTGTCGAGAAGACAGAGTCTGAATGACAACCCCAGGCTTGGAGCGTCTTTTTAAGCTGGGTTGGAGGGGGGGAAGAGCCATGGTCTGGGGAACTTAGGTCAATGTGTTCATAGCACAGTCCCACCACCAATGCACCATTTTTGCCCCCCACCCTTTTTGAAATGAAGCTGAAAAATGTACATGATTAAAATAGGACACGTGTTCTACAGTTGTGAATCATAAGGAAGGTGATATTTTGTATATAATGAAGAACCAATTAAGAAAAATAACCGACAAATGCCTATTTAATGAGGTGCAATCTCTTGTTGCTGTATAAGCTAGTCCTCTCCTACGCAGCTCTATAGTTGACCCAGAATTGTTTTCAATGTGCCGTGTATACATGAGCTGTGGTGCGTGATCTCACTGGGAGTCGTGGTAGCTGTTCCGTATGATGGCGATTGCATGTAGAGACAAAAACAGATTAATATGGAGTGATTATTCATTTCTAAATTATACAGCTCTTCAGGATTCATGCTGAATACATACCCTAGAATATTTCACTTCCGTGTCATATGCAACTATTTCTTGAAACGAATAAAGTTTATGACCATGAAACTTTCAGCTGAACCATCATTACTTTCAAAATATCTGCTTCACGAGTGGTGTAAAAATTCTCACCAACAGTGGTCATGGGAGCTGTTGCAGATAATTATATGTACAATAATAAGAATAAATTCATAACCACAAGGTCATGCATTTTCTTTTCAATAATTGCCAAATACGAACCTCCAGATCACTATCGTAATAAATATAAATGTTAATATCCTGTAGAATGACACGTTAAAACATGCCATATGATGCACATTTAACTGGCTGCCATGTCTTGTTTATCATACATGAGAGTGCCGTTCAATGGTTCTGCTCAGCTGAGTCAGAATAACTTAAAATGTGCCGCGTATACACGAGTTGTGGTGCGTGGTCTCACGTGAAGTTGTGGTACCTGCTCCGTATGATGGTGATTGCATGTAGAAAGACAGAAACAGATGAAATCATTAATTATTTAATTATACTGCTCTACATTATTCATCCTGAATGCACGTCCGAAAATATTTCACTTTAGTGTTATGTTTAACTACTTTTTTTAAAGGATGATCCTCGTGCCTCTACAAAACGATCATAAAAAATATATTTTTCAATTTTCTGATTTACGGATCGTATGCAAATTATATTAATAGCAGTGGCAATCGTGTCTATTGTAGATCATGCAATGTGCGAGTTAGTGATCAAGCTCCTGCCTCTACACAACCACCTTTTTGACAAACACTGGGCGACCGCGTTTAATAGCAATGTATATGAATAACACCACAAATAAACCGCACAATAAGTAAAACCATTTGAACAATCAGTTTCATTTCTATAGCAAATGAAAATTTGTCAATGAGATGTCCTCGACTAATTATGATTTATTTTTATTTTATGTCTCGGTCTTGTGGCTGAAGGTTATTTTTAGTGATCAAGTTTCTTTCTTCACAAAACCTTTAAGATAAAATAATAATTTGAAATCCCTTCTCATGCAATGCTGAGGAAAGGTTTCTCCACGCCTTGTTAATCATGGCATGGTGATTGGTGAAGTGGGGCCCAGAAATGGTTCAGATGTCACCACTGATGTTACCTATAGCTAGGATTCACACTCAGGGCAGCCGATTCAAAGTGTGGTGTCGCAAACCACGGCATCACTGCGCCATCTCAAAGCATCACGTTATTTTCCGGATTGGAGTAAACCCTGCAAACATTGTTTAAATATATCCTATACATTCATTTTCACACCCCACAAAGATAAGCATGGTGACTGAACTTATCTATGGTTCATATATATTTGCAACAAGATAGAAGCACATGAGTACAGTAAGAACCATACTCACCACCATATTCACAATCCGGCCCGTAAAAGACTCCGTAGCAAATGCACGAGTAGGGGTTCCGAATGCCCCACTCGACAACCAACCCCTCTATGCAGTCCCCTCCGTTTTGGCACGGGTTCGATGCACAACGAAGGACTGCAGATACAGGTATCACAATTATGCCGTGGATCAGGTTATTCTTTGCATCTCATCACATAAAGGATTATATTCTCTTCAGTGGCATCGCTTAAACTTGACAAAGTCAATCGCTCAATGCAAACGTCAGCCATTGTCAATCTATAGCTGGATGAAAGTCTCTACACATTGTAAGCCATGGAGGTTGTCTGACCATACATCACCATCCTGGTCAGTGTTGCATGGTAAAAGGAAGACCGAGGACCAAATTTCGGTATCACATCAACGATGTTAGCCATGGTCTGGGGTACTTAGGTCAATGTGTTCATAGCACAGTCCCACTAATGCACCATTTTTACCCCCCCCCCCCACCCTTTTTGAAATGAAGCTGAAAAATGTACATGATTAAAATAGGACACGTGTTCTACAGTTGTCAATCATAAGCCAGGTGATTTTTTTGTATATAATGAAGAACCAATTAAGAAAAATAACCGGCAAGTGCCTACAGTGAGGGGAAAAAGTATTTGATCCCCTGCTGATTTTGTACGTTTGCCCACTGACAAAGAAATGATCAGCCTTATAATTTTAATGGTAGGTTTATTTGAACAGTGAGAGACAGAATAACAACAACAAAATCCAGAAAAACGCTTGTCAAAAAGTTATAAATCGATTTACATTTTAATTAGGGAAATAAGTATTTGACCCCTCTGCAAAACATGACTTAGTACTTGGTAGCAAAACCCTTGTTGGCAATCACAGAGGTCAGACGTTTCTTGTAGTTGGCCACCAGGTTTGCACACATCTCAGGAGGTATTTTGTCCCATTCCTCTTTGCAGATCTTCTCCAAGTCATTAAGGTTTCGAGGCTGACGTTTGGCAACTCGAACATTCAGCTCCCTCCACAGATTTTCTATGGGATTAAGGTCTGTAGACTGGCTATTCCACTCCAGAACCTTAATGTGCTTCTTCTTGAGCCACTCCTTTGTTGCCTTGGCCGTGTGATTTGGGTCATTGTCATGCTGGAATACCCATCCACGACCCATTTTCAATGCCCTGGTTGAGGGAAGGAGGTTCTCACCCAAGATTTGACGGTACATGGCCCCGTCCATCGTCCCTTTGATGTGGTGAAGTTGTCCTGTCCCCTTAGCAGAAAAACACCCCCAAAGCATAATGTTTCCACCTCCATGTTTGACTGTGGGGATGGTGTTCTTGGGGTCATAGGCAGCATTCCTCCTCCAAACACGGCGAGTTGAGTTGATGCCAAAGAGCTCCATTTTGGTCTCATCTGCCACAACACTTTCACCCAGTTGCCCTCTGAATCATTCAGATGTTTCGATTTAAAGCTTTCATGACTGCAGGGATTCATCTTCTTGGTTCTTTCGGTAAAGTCAGTCCTTCACGGCATAGTGTGTTACCAACTGTTTTCTTGGTGACTATGGTCCCAGCTGCCTTGAGATCATTGACAAGATCCTCCCGTGTAATTCTGGGCTGATTCCTCACCGTTCTCATGATCATTGCAACTCCACGAGGTGAGATCTTGCATGGAGCCCCAGGCCGAGGGAGATTGACAGTTCTTTTGTGTTTCTTCCATTTGCGAATAATCGCACCAACTGTTGTCACCTTCTCACCAAGCTGCTTGGTGATGGTCTTGTAGCCCATTACAGCCTTGTGTAGGTCTACAATCTTGTCCCTGACATCCTTGGAGAGCTCTTTGGTCTTGGCCATGGTGGAGAGTTTGGAATCTGATTGATTGATTGCTTCTGTGAACATGTGTCTTTTATACAGGTAACAAGCTGAGATTAGGAGCACTCCCTTTAAGAGTGTGCTCCTAATCTCAGCTCGTTACCTGTATAAAAGACACCTGGGAGCCAGAAATCTTTCTGATTGAGAGGGGGTCAAATGCTTATTTCCCTCATTAAAATGCAAATCAATTTATAACATTTTTGACATGCGTTTTTCTGGATTTTGTTGTTGTTATTCTGCCTCTCACTGTTCAAATAAACATACCATTAAAATTATAGACTGATAATTTCTTTGTCAGTGGGCAAACGTACAAAATCAGCAGGGGATCAAATACTTTTTTCCCTCACTGTATTTAACGAGGTGCTACCTCTTGTTGCTGTATAAGGTAGTCCTCTCCTACGCAGCTCTATAGTTGACCCAGAATTGCTTTCAATGTGCCGTGTATACATGAGCTGTGGTGCGTGGTCTCACTGGGAGTCGAGGTAGCTGTTCCGTATGATGGCGATTGCATGTAGAGAGACAAAAACAGATTAATATGGAGTGATTATTCATTCCTAAATTATACAGCTCTTCATGATTCATGCTGAATACATACCTTAGAAAATTTCACTTTCGTGTCATGTGCAATTATTTCTTGAAACGAATAAAGTTCATGACTCTACAAAACTTTCAGCTGAACTATCATTACTTTCAAAATGTTTGCTTCACGAGTGGTGTAAAAATTCTCACCAACAGTGATAATGGGAGCTGTTGCAGATAATTAAATGTACAATAATAATACATTCATAACCACAAGGTCATGCATTTTCTTTTCAATAATTGCCAAATACGAACCTCCAGATCACTATCGTAATAAATATAAATGTTAATATCCTGTAGAATGACACGTTAAAACATGCCATATGATGCACATTTAACTGGCTGCCATGTCTTGTTTATCATACATGAGAGTGCCGTTCAATGGTTCTGCTCAGCTGAGTCAGAATAACTTAAAATGTGCCGCGTATACACGAGTTGTGGTGCGTGGTCTCACGTGAAGTTGTGGTACCTGCTCCGTATGATGGTGATTGCATGTAGAAAGACAGAAACAGATGAAATCATTAATTATTTAATTATACTGCTCTACATTATTCATCCTGAATGCACGTCCGAAAATATTTCACTTTAGTGTTATGTTTAACTACTTTTTTTAAAGGATGATCCTCGTGCCTCTACAAAACGATCATAAAAAATATATTTTTCAATTTTCTGATTTACGGATCGTATGCAAATTATATTAATAGCAGTGGCAATCGTGTCTATTGTAGATCATGCAATGTGCGAGTTAGTGATCAAGCTCCTGCCTCTACACAACCACCTTTTTGACAAACACTGGGCGACCGCGTTTAATAGCAATGTATATGAATAACACCACAAATAAACCGCACAATAAGTAAAACCATTTGAACAATCAGTTTCATTTCTATAGCAAATGAAAATTTGTCAATGAGATGTCCTCGACTAATTATGATTTATTTTTATTTTATGTCTCGGTCTTGTGGCTGAAGGTTATTTTTAGTGATCAAGTTTCTTTCTTCACAAAACCTTTAAGATAAAATAATAATTTGAAATCCCTTCTCATGCAATGCTGAGGAAAGGTTTCTCCACGCCTTGTTAATCATGGCATGGTGATTGGTGAAGTGGGGCCCAGAAATGGTTCAGATGTCACCACTGATGTTACCTATAGCTAGGATTCACACTCAGGGCAGCCGATTCAAAGTGTGGTGTCGCAAACCACGGCATCACTGCGCCATCTCAAAGCATCACGTTATTTTCCGGATGGGAGTAAGCCCTGCAAACATTGTTTAAATATATCCTATACATTCATTTTCACACCCCACAAAGATAAGCATGGTGACTGAACTTATCTATGGTTCATATATATTTGCAACAAGATAGAAGCACATGAGTACAGTAAGAACCATACTCACCACCATATTCACAATCCGGCCCGTAAAAGACTCCGTAGCAAATGCACGAGTAGGGGTTCCGAATGCCCCACTCGACAACCAACCCCTCTATGCAGTCCCCTCCGTTTTGGCACGGGTTCGATGCACAACGAAGGACTGCAGATACAGGTATCACAATTATGCCGTGGATCAGGTTATTCTTTGCATCTCATCACATAAAGGATTATATTCTCTTCAGTGGCATCGCTTAAACTTGACAAAGTCAATCGCTCAATGCAAACGTCAGCCATTGTCAATCTATAGCTGGATGAAAGTCTCTACACATTGTAAGCCATGGAGGTTGTCTGACCATACATCACCATCCTGGTCAGTGTTGCATGGTAAAAGGAAGACCGAGGACCAAATTTCGGTATCACATCAACGATGTTAGCCATGGTCTGGGGTACTTAGGTCAATGTGTTCATAGCACAGTCCCACCAATGCACCATTTTTACCCCCCCCCCCACCCTTTTTGAAATGAAGCTGAAAAATGTACATGATTAAAATAGGACACGTGTTCTACAGTTGTCAATCATAAGCCAGGTGATTTTTTTGTATATAATGAAGAACCAATTAAGAAAAATAACCGGCAAGTGCCTACAGTGAGGGGAAAAAGTATTTGATCCCCTGCTGATTTTGTACGTTTGCCCACTGACAAATGATCAGTCTATAATTTTAATGGTAGGTTTATTTGAACAGTGAGAGACAGAATAACAACAACAAAATCCAGAAAAACGCTTGTCAAAAAGTTATAAATCGATTTACATTTTAATTAGGGAAATAAGTATTTGACCCCTCTGCAAAACATGACTTAGTACTTGGTAGCAAAACCCTTGTTGGCAATCACAGAGGTCAGACGTTTCTTGTAGTTGGCCACCAGGTTTGCACACATCTCAGGAGGTATTTTGTCCCACTCCTCTTTGCAGATCTTCTCCAAGTCATTAAGGTTTCGAGGCTGACGTTTGGCAACTCGAACATTCAGCTCCCTCCACAGATTTTCTATGGGATTAAGGTCTGTAGACTGGCTATTCCACTCCAGAACCTTAATGTGCTTCTTCTTGAGCCACTCCTTTGTTGCCTTGGCCGTGTGATTTGGGTCATTGTCATGCTGGAATACCCATCCACGACCCATTTTCAATGCCCTGGTTGAGGGAAGGAGGTTCTCACCCAAGATTTGACGGTACATGGCCCCGTCCATCGTCCCTTTGATGTGGTGAAGTTGTCCTGTCCCCTTAGCAGAAAAACACCCCCAAAGCATAATGTTTCCACCTCCATGTTTGACTGTGGGGATGGTGTTCTTGGGGTCATAGGCAGCATTCCTCCTCCAAACACGGCGAGTTGAGTTGATGCCAAAGAGCTCCATTTTGGTCTCATCTGCCACAACACTTTCACCCAGTTGCCCTCTGAATCATTCAGATGTTTCGATTTAAAGCTTTCGTGACTGCAGGGATTCATCTTCTTGGTTCTTTCGGTAAAGTCAGTCCTTCACGGCATAGTGTGTTACCAACTGTTTTCTTGGTGACTATGGTCCCAGCTGCCTTGAGATCATTGACAAGATCCTCCCGTGTAATTCTGGGCTGATTCCTCACCGTTCTCATGATCATTGCAACTCCACGAGGTGAGATCTTGCATGGAGCCCCAGGCCGAGGGAGATTGACAGTTCTTTTGTGTTTCTTCCATTTGCGAATAATCGCACCAACTGTTGTCACCTTCTCACCAAGCTGCTTGGTGATGGTCTTGTAGCCCATTACAGCCTTGTGTAGGTCTACAATCTTGTCCCTGACATCCTTGGAGAGCTCTTTGGTCTTGGCCATGGTGGAGAGTTTGGAATCTGATTGATTGATTGCTTCTGTGAACATGTGTCTTTTATACAGGTAACAAGCTGAGATTAGGAGCACTCCCTTTAAGAGTGTGCTCCTAATCTCAGCTCGTTACCTGTATAAAAGACACCTGGGAGCCAGAAATCTTTCTGATTGAGAGGGGGTCAAATGCTTATTTCCCTCATTAAAATGCAAATCAATTTATAACATTTTTGACATGCGTTTTTCTGGATTTTGTTGTTGCTATTCTGCCTCTCACTGTTCAAATAAACATACCATTAAAATTATAGACTGATAATTTCTTTGTCAGTGGGCAAACGTACAAAATCAGCAGGGGATCAAATACTTTTTTCCCTCACTGTATTTAACGAGGTGCTACCTCTTGTTGCTGTATAAGGTAGTCCTCTCCTACGCAGCTCTATAGTTGACCCAGAATTGCTTTCAATGTGCCGTGTATACATGAGCTGTGGTGCGTGGTCTCACTGGGAGTCGAGGTAGCTGTTCCGTATGATGGCGATTGCATGTAGAGAGACAAAAACAGATTAATATGGAGTGATTATTCATTCCTAAATTATACAGCTCTTCATGATTCATGCTGAATACATACCTTAGAAAATTTCACTTTCGTGTCATGTGCAATTATTTCTTGAAACGAATAAAGTTCATGACTCTACAAAACTTTCAGCTGAACTATCATTACTTTCAAAATGTTTGCTTCACGAGTGGTGTAAAAATTCTCACCAACAGTGATAATGGGAGCTGTTGCAGATAATTAAATGTACAATAATAATACATTCATAACCACAAGGTCATGCATTTTCTTTTCAATAATTGCCAAATACGAACCTCCAGATCACCATCGTAATAAATATAAATGTTAATATCCTGTAGAATGACACGTTAAAGCATGCCATATGATGCACATTTAACTGGCTGCCATGTCCTGTTTATCATTAATGAGAGTGCCGTTCGATGGTTCTGCTCAGCTGAGTCAGAATAACTTAAAATGTGCCGCGTATACACGAGTTGTGGTGCGTGGTCTCACCTAACCCTAACCCAACACTGACTGTACTCCACCATGCTGGTCAGTGTTGCGTGGTGAAAGGTGGTCCAAAGACCAAATTTCAGTATTACAGCGATGTTAGCTGTGGTCTGGGAATCGAACTTAAGTCAATGAGTTCATAGCAGTCCCACCACTGCACCGTTTTCGCCCGCCCACCGCCCACCACTCAACGTTTTATTCATGAAATTAACATCACAAATGTACACGATTACAAATAAGTGAACTTTTACATCTAATGAAGAGCCATATAAGAAAGTTAACCAGCAAGCACCTGCTAAACGAGTTGCTATCTCTTGTTGGTGTGGAAGCAAGTCCTGTCCTACACAAAGCATCACTTTCAATATTCTGTCTGTACACATGTTGCATGAACTCAACACGTGTATCGAGACCTGCACCATATGAGGGTGAAGGCGTGAAAAGATAAACTTATACGTAAATATGATAGTGAATATCAATGTCTGAACACTATAACTATTGATGATTTATGCAGAATATTTGTCCTAAAATATTGAACGTCAGTGTAAATGTGTTAATATTCTCTTGTTAGTGACTAAAGTCCCACAGTTGCAAAATACTTAATACTTGAAACATAATTACTTTTAATATGTATTTTTGGAGTTGCCACATGCTCAATTAATAGGGGTCCACATCTTTATTTGACATAGAAGTTAGTCCTGTCCAATACAGCTCCTCAGCTAAACCAGCAACATTTTCAATATTCTGTGTTTACACAAGTGTCTTTGAATTATCTCACCGGGAGTAGTAGAAGCTGCTCCGTATGATGGCGCATATAGAAAGACACAAACAGGTTAATGTGGTGTAATTATATTCTTAGGTGTTTTCGGTAAAGTCACGTAGGTAAAACATCAAAATTAATAAAAAATAATAAAATAAAATAAAGATCACGACGTGGTGTGATTATTGATGGATGCCACTGCTCCGAATGATATATGCAGAAAACATGTCCTGGAATATATATATCTGCAGTATGATTCACATTCTATTGTTAGGGATCGAGGTCCCGCATTTGGCAACCTTTCAGCTCAAATTTCATCACTAGATGAACGTCGGATTTCTTGAATGGCGTTAAAATTCTCACCTCCCGAGAAACTGGTGGCTGTTGTAGGTAAAGAAGATACGTGAAATAAACTAAACCACAAGGTGATCCGTTTTACTTTTCATGAATAGTCAATCACTAGCCTCCAGTTCTCACTTTTAATAGACATGACTGCAAAGGTATCATAGAGTAACCTAGGAATTTATTATCTTGGTTCCACGTCTTGTTTTGTGAACAAGTCAGTAGTGTCCTACACAGCTCTTCAGCTTAGCGAGTACCACTTTCAGCTTGATGCATAAACATAAGTCACCTTGCAAAATCTCATCTGGAGTTGTCATAACAACTGCTCCGTATGACATTCAGGACATGTAGAGAGACAAACAGGCATTCTAATAGGTGTTGGATGGTAAAATGGGGCCCTAAGAAAATTGAAATATCACTTCTCAGTTATATCCACAAGTGGGAATCTAATCAGTTCTCTGGGTTCATAACAGAGTCCTTAAGGCTACTGCACCAAGGCCTCACACCATATTTGATTTATTACCTTAATATCTTTAATACAGTTGTCTACAACTATAATTGTGATTGGAAGATACAATGGAAAGCTAAGCAAGAGAATACACACAACAAGTGCCTGCTAAACTAGGTGCTATCTCGTGTTGGTGTAGAAGCTGGTCCGGTCCTATGCAGCTCCGCAGCTGAGTCAGCGTCACTTTCAATGTGTTTTATCTGCGCGAGATGCGTTGCATGATCTCACCGGGAGTTGTTGTAGTTGCTGCTCCGTACGACAATGAAGACATGTCAGGAGACAAGTAGGAATTTCATGGTGAAATGGGAACACAGGTCCAATTCAGATATCACTCCTTGACAATGTTAACCATGTACAAGGATCTAACTCACTTTGCTGGGTACATTACACCAAAACCTAACACCATGAAGTCTATGAAGTCTTGTTTTCTAGAGTTGCCGATAGTAATAGATGTGCTGTGAAGATGCAACAAGAAGCTTTATAAGAAAAAGAACCAGCAAGTGCCTTCTTAACTCAGCGCTATCTCTTGTTGGTGTAGAAGCTAGTCCTGTCCTATATAGCTCCATAGCCGAGTCAGCATCACTTTCAATATTCTGCATCTACACGAGATGTGTTGCAAGATCTCACCAAGAGTTGTCGTAGGAGCTGCTCCGTATGATGGTGAATATATGTAAAGAGACACAAACACGTTCATGTGGTGTGATTATAAAATTGATTAACTCTGTTTCTCTTAATGATTAATGAAGACCACGTCCTGGAATATTTCACTTCAGTATGATGGACATATGTTTGATTGTTAGGGATCTAGCTCCTGCCTTTAAACCTTTAAACTCATATACCATCAGTCTATAAACGTCTGTATTCTTAAATGGTGCACAATTTATCTCACTTCCAGAGAAACTGGTGGCTATAGGTCAAGTAGATGCGTGAAATAAACTAAACCACAAGGGGGTCCATTTTATTTGTATGCATAGCCAATCACTAGCCTCCAGTTCTCGCTTTTAATTGACATGTCTGGAAAGGTCTCACAGAGTAACCTGTCAATTGATTATCTTGGTTCCACGTCTTGGTGGTGTACAAGTTAGTACTGTCCTACACAGCTCTTCAACTTAGCCAGCATCACTTTCAATTTGCTGCACCTACACGAGTTGCATCGCAAGATCTCACCTTGAGTTGTCGTAGGAGCTGCCCAATATGACAAAGAGGACATGTAAATAGACAAACAGGCATTTTACTTGGTCAGTTTAACACGTAGGCTTTCGCGACCATCACACCGCACATTAATCTACTCTTATCAAGACGCTCATTCATCGAGCTAAGAAAGCGTCAGATGGTGACAGTCTGAGAAGTGAAATTCAACATGTTAAAGAAGCACTGCAAATGAACGGTTACAATGATGCACAAAACAACAGGCCACTGAATACCAAAACCAAATAAAATAACAAGAGCATTGAAGCTGCGAGAGTAACTGATAAACTATCCAGATGTTTGGAAAAACAAAACATCCGAGTAAGATTTGGCACGGTACATAAAATACAGAAATTAACATCGGGTACAAAAGATGTATTACCGAAGCTATCAGAAGGCGTGTACAGGATTAACTGCACGTGTGGTAAATGTTTCGTTGGGCAAACAGGACGAATGATCAGCACGAGACGAAAAGAACATCAGAGAAATATTACATTCTCCCAAATGCAACTGTCAGCAGTAGCAGAACACGCGCGCCAACAAGGACACTCAATTGATTTTGATAATGTTGAAGTTTTGTGCAAAACTAGCTACTACTGGCCAAAACTGATTAGATAATCTATCGAAATTGAAAGAAATCAAAATAACTTTAACCGTTCGGATAGCTGCCGCCTTAGTGCTGCGTGGAAGCGAATCATCAAATAATAAATTAATTAAATACATTCCGACAAAGGGCAACGAACCTCAATAGCGATTACCGTTGGTAGGGCTATTATAATAAACACAATAGACAGGAAGGACAAATTCAAAGGGCTCGCATAATGCACATGCATAATGTACGTTGCCTCAGTAATCCCCCCTCCCCCAACATTGTGCAAGAGCGCAGAAGGGAGGTCAAAACGTCTACGCCTCTATAAAAAGTGTAGGGCTGTTACAGAGGGGCTGTTTGTGTAGGGCTGTTTGCATAGGAGCTAACGGATAACAAACACAGTGGGCGGGGACTCCGTGAGCACACGGGGTGGTGCCCGCAACGACGTCCGCACTGGACGGCGTGAGGGGGGTTTCGATCCTCTAGGGGGGTATAAAAAGGGATGAGCCAGAGAGCTCGGGGTTGAGTCTTAGTGTAGTTAAAGGAAGAAGGAAGACCGGCCAGATAGGCCCTGGACTCCCCCTGGGACGCCGCCCTTGTAAGGGCAGCGCAGGCTGGAGCCAGTGGCGTGGTTCCGGAACCAGAGTTAGTCCTCTGGGATTCCGGGTACCGTAGCCCGACTGACCAGTGTCGGGCCAGACAGCCTCCCCTAGCCCGTTAGCGGAGGACTCGGCTAGGAAGGCTAGCTAGAGGTGAATTCCCAGTTATACGGGTGAGGGGGCCGATACATCCCTCCAGTGCTGTACGACATTGTGTAAATAAATACGTGTGCCTTACTACGGTGTCCACGCGTCTTCAAGAGTACTTCATCTGGCGTCAGAAGAACCACGAACATGGACACGCGCCAATCAGCTCGAGCCAAAGTACAGCAAATGGAAGACGCCGCCGAAATTGTCGAGCCCGAGATGGCTCAACAAGACAACGTGCAGCCGGGGCCGGACGCGTTCTTACCGGAGCGTCGGCATGAAGAGGAGCCGCGGACAGACGAGCTGAGGCTGGCTCACGAGAGGCTGGCTGAACTGCTCTACGCCGCTGCCGCCACGCTAGAAAACATCACACGGCTGGGGGCTGGTGGTCTACCGCGGGGCGAGGGGAGCCGGCGTCCGGAGCGCCTTCCCGCCATTTCCGAAGATTCAAACTTTGAATTTCCCGCCATCGACGCGGCGACCGCTAGGGGCGTGGCCAACCTCAACCTTGGGTCCGACATCGGCCGCGCTGGGGCTGCCGCGTCAACGACGGAGGAAGGCGCGTCATCAAGGCTGCGACAGGCGATACCATCTGCCGTTCGCGCCGAGACACAGCCGAGTCAGGGAGACAGCAGCCCACGGGACTCCACGGCAACCGCTGCGCTGCACCAAAGGCTGCCTCCGCTTAAAGAATTTGTGGGCGCAGAGGGCGACTGGGGCGGCTTCCAAAGACGCTTCCTCGCCCACCAAGAAATGGCCAAATGGACAGACGCTGAAGCTCTCAGCGTGCTGCCGGCGCTCCTCGACGGCGACGCGCTCACCGCCCTCACATCGGCGCCGAAGGAGAAGCGCTCTACACTGCCGATGGCGCTGCAGCTGCTGGCCGGAGTCTACGGGCCTTCCGCGGAGTGTAGGCAGCAGTTCTACGACCGCCAGCGGGGCGCGAAGGAGTCGCCGCTGGCTTACAGAACAAGTCTCCTGGCGTTGGCCAAGACAGCCTTTCCTCGCATGGACGAGGACGGGGTCGACGCCATGGTGACTGAGAAAATCCTCCTGCTAGCAGACGACCTGGACATCGCCGTCGTGGCACAGGAGGATACAGAGATGACTTCTCTACAAGCGGCGCGACTCCTCCACGCCAACCTGCTGTCGCAGCGGCGGAAGGCCAGCAGAGCAGCGGCTGGGCGTGCGGTGGCGGCAGCCACCCTCCCGGCGGAGGAGGTCTTCGCCGTCAACCATCGTCGGCAGCAGGGGACGGGAGCACGGCCGGGCTGGGATGGGTCGAGCCGCTTCGACCGTCCGTCATCGCCGCCGCCGCTTCCGCGCTGCTTCAACCGCGGCGTCCGGGGCCATGTCGCCTCGGGGTGCCGCTCTCCCCGACAGCGTGGGACGACGCCTCGCCAGGACGCCGGGCCTCCTCCTCCTCCCAAGCTCCATCAGCATGATCCGGCGAGTCGCGACACCACACATGTTTGGCCAGCACACACACCTGTCGCACACTCTCGCATCGCAACGAATGGGGGGACGACGTCGCATCGCGACGGGCCGGCGCGTACCACTGTGGGGACTCGAATTGAGCCCGGGCAGTGGTCCGCGTTGGCCCATCGCGTTGTGGCCGCATCGTCAGGGTCGTCGGCCGTCGTGGGACTTATTGACGGGGTTGAGGTACGCATCCTGGTTGACACGGGGGCATCGGCGACCATTATTTCCGAATTGATTTACAACATTTTGCCTGTCCAAAGCCGTCCCTTACTACCAGTTAATGTCCCATTCTATGCGGCGAATGGGGGCTCCCTTGGTATTATTGGACAAATTCGAGCGCAAATTTGTATCGGGGATATCAAATTATCAGGCCCGATTTTTGTTTCCTCCTCGCTGGCGGTTCCGTGCCTGCTGGGGACGGACTTCTTGGGTAAAATGCCGATCCGTATTTTAATAGACCAGGGATGCATTGAGCTCCCGTCGGGACGGCGCATGGCGTTCTTACCCTCCCCTTCTGTGATTCGGACGGCGTTCGTAACTATACCAGCGTCCGTCGTCGAAACCGTTCGTGTGCCGCCGGGGGCTCAGATGTTAGTACCTCTAAAACTTCGTCGGCCCTTCGCAGAGGGTATCGGGGCCCAGGGGATCCTGTTGGGACCGTCTAGGGCCGGGGTTAGTGGACCGCATTTGATTCCGGCCCTGACCGTTGTGAGGGGAGATGGTGACCCTTTCATCGCGGTCCTCAATGTGGGATCGCAACCTGTTGTGGTTCCTCGAGGGACGGTGCTTGCGCACGCGACGCCGATGCCCTGCGAGGAACCGGTTGCGAATCATGTCAGCACCGCCACCCGACTGCACCCACATTCGGACAGCGATGACGGGTGGCTCGACGCGCTTTGTGCGGGATCGACGGACCTGTCAAATTCAGAGCGCCAACAGCTTAGATCACTACTGCAGGAATTTTCCGACGTTTTTAGTCGAGATAAATATGATTTGGGTTGCACTCATCTGCTGCGTCACCATATTGACACGGGTGACAGCGCGCCAATTCGCCAAAATCCGTTTCGGTTGAGTCCCGCCGAAAAGGACCATGTCAAATTGGCTGTGGATGACATGTTAGCCGCCGACATCATTTCTCCCTCTACCAGCCCTTGGGGAGCGCCGATCGTCCTGGTTTAAAAGCAGGACGGCTCGTTGCGGTTTTGCGTTGATTTTCGGCGCCTTAACAAAATCTCGGTTGCCGACGCATACCCGCTCCCATGGATGGACGAATCGCTGGACGCCTTGGCGGGAGCGCGATTTTTCTCCACGCTGGATTTACTTTCGGGATTCTGGCAGCTTCCTCTGGATGATGAGTCGAAACCTAAAACTGCTTTCCGTACACCGCACGGCCTGTTCCAATTCAACCGGTTGCCGATGGGCTTACACTCAGCGCCGGCAACCTTCCAACGTTTGATGGAATTGGTTTTGGCTGGATTGCAATGGGAGTCGTGCCTGATTTATTTGGATGATGTTATTGTCTTCGCTAAAACTTATGACGAACATCTCCAGAGGTTGCGGGCGGTTTTCCTAAAGATGCGGGCTGCTAATTTGAAGTTCAAGCCCCAAAAGTGTCATTTGTTACGCGATTCCGTGCGTTATTTGGGGCACATCGTAGGGCGCTCGGGTATTGCTACCGATCCCGCCAAAATGCAGTGTGTCAGCTCCTGGCCAACTCCCACCACGGTGGGAGAGGTCAGGAGTTTCGTCGGCTTCGCGTCATATTACAGACGGTTCGTCGCCGACTTTGCAACAATTGCCAAACCCCTACACGCATTGACATCAAAGGGGGTTCGGTTCCACTGGGGCCAAGAGGAGGAGGCTGCTTTTTGCTCCCTTCGGGACGCCTTGGTAAAAGCTCCTCCATTGATCTACCCCGATTTTTCAAAGCCGTTCCTGCTCGACACCGATGCGAGCAACACGGGTATTGGGGGCGTGCTTTCCCAGGTGGTTGACGGCGTCGAACGGGTGGTTGCGTACGGCAGTCGGGTGTTGTCTCAAGCAGAGCAAAGATATTGTGTTACCCGCAGAGAACTGTTGGCAATTGTCTATTTCATCCAACAGTATCGCCCATATCTGTACGGTCGGCATTTCACCGTCCGCACAGATCATGCGGCACTGCAGTACGCCCTGCGAGTTCAACAGCCATCGGGACAATTGTCCCGATGGTTGGAGATCCTCCAGGATTTTGATTTTGACACCACATACCGTAAGGGCGTCCGCCACACCAACGCGGACGCTCTGTCGCGCATGCCAACCACCTCGGAATGCGCGTGCCTCCTGGGGTCGGGACGTTGCAAACCAGCAGGGGACGTGTCGGTTCCGGGCCTTGCGGCCGCCGCCGACGGCGGGACAGTTGTTCAGAATTCTATTGAACAACAAGGGAAAGATTCCCTGCTGGGGTTGCACATTCAGGAATGGGGGCGCCTCCAGATGGAGGATACCTCCCTCCTCGCGTTGCGTCGTCGCGCCGGGGAGGCAGGGCGGGGATCGGGTGATGCCGACGCATGGGAAATGCACGCGGGGTTGCTGTTGCACTGGGACGGAAAATCCCACCGACACCGGCTGGTGGTCCCTTCGGGCTTACGGGGTAGGGTGGTGTGGGCTGCTCATGAGCGCCTCCTCCACCTGGGTACCCAAAAGACCCTCGCCTTGCTCCAGCGTGATTTCTTTTGGCAAGGCATGACAAGGGATGTCTCTGATCTGTTGGCTTCATGCCCGCGGTGTGCACAGCGAAAACCACCAGCACGAGAATCAAACCCGCCCTTGCAGTCTATCAGGGTCTCCAGAGTAAACGAACTTGTCGCGCTGGATATTCTGGGCCCATTCCCCGCCACCCCTAGGGGAAACAGATACTTGTTAACCGGGGTCGAGTATTTTACGCGCTGGCCTATGGCCTGGCCCCTGGCCAATCAGTCGGCAGCAGCCATCGTCGACGCCTTTGTCCAAGGCTATGTCATGGACAAAGGTGCCCCGGAGCGGCTGCTGACCGACCAGGGTAGAAATTTTTCCGGAAAACTCCTCCAACAGGTTTGTGAGCTCCTAGGAACGAAAAAGATTTGTACTTCCCCCTATCACCCGCAAACTGACGGGATGGTCGAGCGTCTGCATCGCACCATCTCGTCTATGTTATCACAGCAGGTTTCGGACTCACAGACTGATTGGGACTTGAAAATTCAAGGGGTCTTGGCAGCATACAGATTGGCCCCCCATGCTGCAACGGGATTTTCGCCATTCTTCCTCATGTATGGGCGCGACCCTGACCCACCCATTCGGGCGCAGCTGCAGATCCCCACACCACTGGGTAAAACAAAATTAATTGACCATGTCAAATTCAACCTTGAAAAATTGACTGAGGCACGGGATGCTGCCATGTTAAATTCAGAACAGCGTCAAAAAGCAAACGAGCGCCTCAGACTGGGTCGCGCGCACGTGCTGCAGTGGAAGCCGGGGGACAGGGCATGGCTGCACTGCCCCCAGGTACCGCTCGCAACATCCCCTAAACTGGCGCGGCCGTGGAGGGGTCCTGTAGAGGTGGTCGAGGTTCTGCGGCCTCAGTGTGTTCGCATCAAATGGGGGAAGCGCCGGTGGTTTGTGCACCCCTCGAGGCTAAAACCATTCGTTGCGGTGCGAGGCCCCACTCCACACACGCGTGGCCAAACATGTGGGGGGTCGGCCGACTCAAAGGGTCCGTCCTTACTGCCCTCGCCTGACGTGTCGCCGGCTGTCCCACCCACAGGTGCACCGGGATTGACGAGCTCGCACCCACCTACCGCTGCGAGGGATGCCGAGGGTCTCGCGACGTCAGACGCGGACTCAATACAAAATGAACAACTGCCACCGGCGGGTTCGCCACCCGGGATTGCCCCGTGTGACGGGCCTGCAGCAAGGACACGCGCAAAAATGCGCAGACTCTTATAATGCATTGGAAGAACACTTAATTCTCTTATGTACGGTTGCGGGGTGCTGCGTCGGTGGGGAGCTCCTACCACATTTTTGTTGTGTTGCATGCGTGCTAGGGGTTTCCTGCTAAACCTGTATATACGTCGCTCTTACGGTATTCGTATTTATTCAGGGGGGGTGCGTCGGATTGTTCCCGTCGGGGTTGTGGGTTTTGTTGTTGTCGTTGTTGTTGTTGTTGCTGTTGTTCCCTTCATGTTATCGTTAAAAACGTTTTTTTAAGGCACACGCGGGGATCCAGGGGTTAAATAACCTTTATTGAAGTTGTTGCAGCCGGGACGGCTGCGAGCTGTACAGGGGGGGGTGATGTAGGGCTGTTACAGAGGGGCTGTTTGTGTAGGGCTGTTTGCATAGGAGCTAACGGATAACAAACACAGTGGGCGGGGACTCCGTGAGCACACGGGGTGGTGCCCGCAACGACGTCCGCACTGGACGGCGTGAGGGGGGTTTCGATCCTCTAGGGGGGTATAAAAAGGGATGAGCCAGAGAGCTCGGGGTTGAGTCTTAGTGTAGTTAAAGGAAGAAGGAAGACTGGCCAGATAGGCCCTGGACTCCCCCTGGGACGCCGCCCTTGTAAGGGCAGCGCAGGCTGGAGCCAGTGGCGTGGTTCCGGAACCAGAGTTAGTCCTCTGGGATTCCGGGTACCGTAGCCCGACTGACCAGTGTCGGGCCAGACAGCCTCCCCTAGCCCGTTAGCGGAGGACTCGGCTAGGAAGGCTAGCTAGAGGTGAATTCCCAGTTATACGGGTGAGGGGGCCGATACATCCCTCCAGTGCTGTACGACATTGTGTAAATAAATACGTGTGCCTTACTACGGTGTCCACGCGTCTTCAAGAGTACTTCAAAAGGAACGAAACAGGTGGACTTCTCCACAAATCTGGCTGTCGCCTGATGAAGCTAGTTGTAATTACTGGTGAAACGTTGTACTCAGATTGTAAATGTCGTGGCTTGGCTCTCCAACACACCAGTGCGCTGTACTAGTATACTACACTATACACTACACTATACACTACACACTAGTGCTGTACTAGTGACGAATTGGCCACGTTCTATTTACGTGACAACCCTTACTAGTTGGCTGTGTCAGGAAGTGGCGGGTTTTAACGCCACATTTATAAATTTATGCGATCTAACCTAAACACCTCTATTGTGGATTTTAATTGGTGTTGGATGGTAAAATGAGGTCCAGGAACTTTGAGATTTCACAGTGATGTTGGCTTCAGACGGAAATCTGACTCAGTTCTCTGGGTGCATAGCATAGCCCTTCAACCCACCAAGGCCTCACACCATATTTGATGTTTGAACTTAACATTACGAATGTATATATCCTTTTTAAATGAATTTAATACAGTTGTCTGCAGCTATCATTTTGATTTCCAGATACAATGGAACGCTATGTAAGATAAAAAAAAGAGCAAGGGCCTGCTTAACTCAGCGCTATCTCTTGTTGGTGTAGAAGCTAGTCCTGTCCTATATAGCTCCACAGCCGAGTCAGCATCACTTTCAATATTCTGCATCTACACGAGATGTGTTGCAAGATCTCACCAAGAGTTGTCGTAGGAGCTGCTCCGTATGATGGTGAATATATGTAAAGAGACACAAACACGTTCATGTGGTGTGATTAGAAAATTGATGAATTCCGTTTCTCTTAATTATTAATGAAGACCACGTCCTGGAATATTTCACTTCAGTATGATGGACATATGTTTGATTGTTAGGGATCTAGCTCCTGCCTTTAAACCTTTAAACTCATATACCATCAGTCTATAAACGTATGTATTCTTGAATGGTGCACAATTTATCTCACTTCCAGAGAAACTGGTGGCTATAGGTAAAGTAAATGCGTGAAATAAACTAAACCACAAGGGGGTCCATTTTATTTGTATTCATAGCTAAACATTGGCCTCCAGTTCTCACTTTTAATTGACATGATTGGAAAGGTCTCACAGAGTAACCTGTGAATTGATTATCTTGGTTCCACGTCTTGGTGGTGTACAAGTTAGTACTGTCCTACACAGCTCTTCAGCTTAGCCAGCATCACTTTCAATTTGCTGCACCTACACGAGTTGCATCGCAAGATCTCACCTTGAGTTGTCGTAGGAGCTGCCCAATATGACAAAGAGGACATGTAAATAGACAAACAGGCATTTTACTTGGTCAGTTTAACACGTAGGCTTTCGCGACCATCACACCGCACATAAATCTACTCTTATCAAGACGCTCATTCATCGAGCTAAGAAAGCGTCAGATGGTGACAGTCTGAGAAGTGAAATTCAACATGTTAAAGAAGCACTGCAAATGAACGGTTACAATGATGCACAAAACAACAGGCCACTGAATACCAAAACCAAATAAAATAACAAGAGCATTGAAACTGCGAGAGCAACTGATAAACTATCCAGATGTTTGGAAAAACAAAACATCCGAGTAAGATTTGGCACGGTACATAAAATACAGAAATTAACATCGGGTACAAAAGATGTATTACCGAAGCTATCAGAAGGCGTGTACTGGATTAACTGCACGTGTGGTAAATGTTACGTTGGGCAAACAGGACGAATGATCAGCACGAGACGAAAAGAACATCAGAGAAATATTACATTCTCCCAAATGCAACTGTCAGCAGTAGCAGAACACGCGCGCCAACAAGGACACTCAATTGATTTTGATAATGTTGAAGTTTTGTGCAAAACTAGCTACTACTGGCCAAAACTGATTAGATAATCTATCGAAATTGAAAGAAATCAAAATAACTTTAACCGTTCGGATAGCTGCCGCCTTAGTGCTGCGTGGAAGCGAATCATCAAATAATAAATTAATTAAATACATTCCGACAAAGGGCACCGAACCTCAATAGCGATTACCGTTGGTAGGGCTATTATAATAAACACAATAGACAGGAAGGACAAATTCAAAGGGCTCGCATAATGCACATGCATAATGTACGTTGCCTCAGTAATCCCCCCCCAACATTGTGCAAGAGCGCAGAAGGGAGGTCAAAACGTCTACGCCTCTATAAAAGGAACGAAACAGGTGGACTTCTCCACAAATATGGCTGTCGCCTGATGAAGCTAGTTGTAATTACTGGTGAAACGTTGTACTCAGATTGTAAATGTCGTGGCTTGGCTCTCCCACACACCGGTGTGCTGTACTAGTGACGAATTGGCCACGTTCTATTTACGTGACAACCCTTACTAGTTGGCTGTGTCAGGAAGTGGCGGGTTTTAACGCCACATTCATAAATTTATGCGATCTAACCTAAACACCTCTATTGTGGATTTTAATTGGTGTTGGATGGTAAAATGAGGTCCTAGGAACTTTGAGATTTCACAGTGATGTTGGCTTCAGACGGAAATCTGACTCAGTTCTCTGGGTGCATAGCATAGCCCTTCAACCCACCAAGGCCTCACACCATATTTGATGTTTGAACTTAACATTACGAATGTATATATCCTTTTTAAATGCTTTAATACAGTTGTCTGCAGCTATCATTTTGATTTCCAGATACAATGGAACGCTATGTAAGATAAAAAAAGAGCAAGGGCCTGCTTAACTCAGCGCTATCTCTTGTTGGTGTAGAAGCTAGTCCTGTCCTATATAGCTCCACAGCCGAGTCAGCATCACTTTCAATATTCTGCATCTACACGAGATGTGTTGCAAGATCTCACCAAGAGTTGTCGTAGGAGCTGCTCCGTATGATGGTGAATATATGTAAAGAGACACAAACACGTTCATGTGGTGTGATTAGAAAATTGATGAATTCCGTTTCTCTTAATTATTAATGAAGACCACGTCCTGGAATATTTCACTTCAGTATGATGGACATATGTTTGATTGTTAGGGATCTAGCTCCTGCCTTTAAACCTTTAAACTCATATACCATCAGTCTATAAACGTATGTATTCTTGAATGGTGCACAATTTATCTCACTTCCAGAGAAACTGGTGGCTATAGGTAAAGTAAATGCGTGAAATAAACTAAACCACAAGGGGGTCCATTTTATTTGTATTCATAGCTAAACATTGGCCTCCAGTTCTCACTTTTAATTGACATGATTGGAAAGGTCTCACAGAGTAACCTGTGAATTGATTATCTTGGTTCCACGTCTTGGTGGTGTACAAGTTAGTACTGTCCTACACAGCTCTTCAGCTTAGCCAGCATCACTTTCAATTTGCTGCACCTACACGAGTTGCATCGCAAGATCTCACCTTGAGTTGTCGTAGGAGCTGCCCAATATGACAAAGAGGACATGTAAATAGACAAACAGGCATTTTACTTGGTCAGTTTAACACGTAGGCTTTCGCGACCATCACACCGCACATAAATCTACTCTTATCAAGACGCTCATTCATCGAGCTAAGAAAGCGTCAGATGGTGACAGTCTGAGAAGTGAAATTCAACATGTTAAAGAAGCACTGCAAATGAACGGTTACAATGATGCACAAAACAACAGGCCACTGAATACCAAAACCAAATAAAATAACAAGAGCATTGAAACTGCGAGAGCAACTGATAAACTATCCAGATGTTTGGAAAAACAAAACATCCGAGTAAGATTTGGCACGGTACATAAAATACAGAAATTAACATCGGGTACAAAAGATGTATTACCGAAGCTATCAGAAGGCGTGTACTGGATTAACTGCACGTGTGGTAAATGTTACGTTGGGCAAACAGGACGAATGATCAGCACGAGACGAAAAGAACATCAGAGAAATATTACATTCTCCCAAATGCAACTGTCAGCAGTAGCAGAACACGCGCGCCAACAAGGACACTCAATTGATTTTGATAATGTTGAAGTTTTGTGCAAAACTAGCTACTACTGGCCAAAACTGATTAGATAATCTATCGAAATTGAAAGAAATCAAAATAACTTTAACCGTTCGGATAGCTGCCGCCTTAGTGCTGCGTGGAAGCGAATCATCAAATAATAAATTAATTAAATACATTCCGACAAAGGGCACCGAACCTCAATAGCGATTACCGTTGGTAGGGCTATTATAATAAACACAATAGACAGGAAGGACAAATTCAAAGGGCTCGCATAATGCACATGCATAATGTACGTTGCCTCAGTAATCCCCCCCCAACATTGTGCAAGAGCGCAGAAGGGAGGTCAAAACGTCTACGCCTCTATAAAAGGAACGAAACAGGTGGACTTCTCCACAAATATGGCTGTCGCCTGATGAAGCTAGTTGTAATTACTGGTGAAACGTTGTACTCAGATTGTAAATGTCGTGGCTTGGCTCTCCCACACACCGGTGTGCTGTACTAGTGACGAATTGGCCACGTTCTATTTACGTGACAACCCTTACTAGTTGGCTGTGTCAGGAAGTGGCGGGTTTTAACGCCACATTCATAAATTTATGCGATCTAACCTAAACACCTCTATTGTGGATTTTAATTGGTGTTGGATGGTAAAATGAGGTCCTAGGAACTTTGAGATTTCACAGTGATGTTGGCTTCAGACGGAAATCTGACTCAGTTCTCTGGGTGCATAGCATAGCCCTTCAACCCACCAAGGCCTCACACCATATTTGATGTTTGAACTTAACATTACGAATGTATATATCCTTTTTAAATGCTTTAATACAGTTGTCTGCAGCTATCATTTTGATTTCCAGATACAATGGAACGCTATGTAAGATAAAAAAAGAGCAAGGGCCTGCTTAACTCAGCGCTATCTCTTGTTGGTGTAGAAGCTAGTCCTGTCCTATATAGCTCCACAGCCGAGTCAGCATCACTTTCAATATTCTGCATCTACACGAGATGTGTTGCAAGATCTCACCAAGAGTTGTCGTAGGAGCTGCTCCGTATGATGGTGAATATATGTAAAGAGACACAAACACGTTCATGTGGTGTGATTAGAAAATTGATGAATTCTGTTTCTCTTAATTATTAATGAAGACCACGTCCTGGAATATTTCACTTCAGTATGATGGACATATGTTTGATTGTTAGGGATCTAGCTCCTGCCTTTAAACCTTTAAACTCATATACCATCAGTCTATAAACGTCTGTATTCTTGAATGGTGCACAATTTATCTCACTTCCAGAGAAACTGGTGGCTATAGGTAAAGTAAATGCGTGAAATAAACTAAACCACAAGGGGGTCCATTTTATTTGTATTCATAGCTAAACATTGGCCTCCAGTTCTCACTTTTAATTGACATGATTGGAAAGGTCTCACAGAGTAACCTGTGAATTGATTATCTTGGTTCCACGTCTTGGTGGTGTACAAGTTAGTACTGTCCTACACAGCTCTTAAGCATAGCCAGCATCACTTTCAATTTGCTGCACCTACACGAGTTGCACCGCAAGATCTCACCTGGAGTTGTCGTAGGAGCTGCCCAATATGACAAAGAGGACATGTAAATAGACAAACAGGCATTTTACTTAGTCAGTTTAACACGTAGGCTTTCGCGACCATCACACCGCACAGAAATCTACTCTTGTCAAGACGCACATTCATCGAGCTAAGAAAGTGTTAGATGGTGACAGTCTGAGAAGTGAAATTCAACATGTTAAAGAAGCGCTGCAAATGAACGGTTACAAT